CTGGCAGGTGGACTTCACCTCGTGCACAGGCCTCTTCTGTGTCCTGGGAATAGTGATGATGGTGACTGGGATTATCACTGCCATCGTGCTGGCCTTCAAATACGTGAGTGTCCTGGCAGAGTTGGTCGGTGAACCCAGTGCTCAGGGCAGAATTTCTGTGTATCTTGCTGCAGCAGGCCCCATGGGCCTCTGGACGGCTCTGGGTTCCAGAACCTCTCAACTGGCTAGCCAAGGCACCTGTGTTGAAGCGCCATCCTTTGGACTGGGGTATCACTGGAGACCCAGGTCTGGGAGCCATAGCACCTGAGGCCCCAGACAGCATCATGGGATTCCTATGAGAAGCAGCAGTGTGATCTGTCTGACAGCTGAGGCCAGGCTCTTGGAGGCAGGTTGGCAGAGGAATCCAGAGGGCAGAGATGGGCTCAGCTGGAAGGGACCTTAGGGACCACTGTATCTCCTCTTTGTTTCCAATTAGCAGGGGGCAGCAAGTGAGGCCCTAGGCTGAAGGAAGCTTTGTGGTGGGAAGGGGAAGCACATGAACAAGAGTGTGAACATGACAGGAGCCTACCCATGTGACCATGGCTGGCCCTGCCCTTGTGGACAGGTCCCTGGAGGGCTGTTGAACAAGGCTGCCCTGGGGATGCTCCCTGACTCTGCTATTCATCTGGTGGTTAGGGGGTGTCCCTCTTAGGCAGGGCTGCAGGAACACGGTCTAGTGACTGCTGACATAACTAAGGGTAAAGTTGATGGGGCTCTTCAAGGAGTGCATGGCTGGGCCTGCCCCTCCCAGAGCCATAATTCAACCACTCTTCCAGAAGCATGCTGTGATTGATTTCATATAGCGACTGGATGATGGCCTCTGTTTTCTCTGCCAAACATGTTAGCATTCTTAATTTCTCCCAGGATCTGGAAGAGAGAGGTAGTTCTCTCATGGATCTTCCCACTTGGCCAGAATCCCAGTGGGGAAGATGGTCCTGAGGGTCTGCCTCACTCTGGGCTTTGCCAAGTTTTCTAATGCCATCCCTGTCCTCTCTCCCCAGGTTTACTGGCTGCACATGGTCTATGCTGCTCTGGGGGCCATTTGCTTCACTTTGGTAAGACCCTGCCCACTCTAGGAAGGGGAGTGGGAGATATGGGACTGGGTGGGTGCTGAATGTAGGCTGCTTGAGAGGCAGGGAGTGGGGCCACAGCTGCCTTTCCCTACTGTCTGGAGGCTCCACTGATTTCTTGGGCATTCCTGTCTTTAATTCACATTGCTTGCTATGAGAATACTCAGCAAGCTATATTCCAGAGATGACACTATTCCAGTGTCCCTCTCCCTTTCTGGACTGTGAACTGCTTAAAGACAGAGACCATGCCTTCTGCTGTTGTTAAAGTGTTCCCTAAGCACACCTCATGGCCCTGAGGCTCCCAGGACAGGTCTGTGGACTACTGAGCCCCTGAATCCTCATGTGTGGCTTCTTGTCCCTGCAGTTCCTGGCCTACGACACACAGCTGGTCCTAGGGAACCGGAAGCACACCATCAGCCCAGAGGAGTACATCACCGGCGCCCTGCAGATCTACACAGATATCATCTACATCTTCACCTTTGTGTTGCAGCTCGTAGGGAGTCGCGATTAAGGAGCACTTCTGGGGCTTTCCCTTCCCTAGGGGGCTGGGCCCTGTGACCCTGCGCTGGGCCTACACCCATTTCCTTCTCAAGTAATACGCCCATTTTTCTTTCTGTCCAGGGATGGGCAGCCTCTCTCGCATTGGATGTATAGGTATCTGATGGGGCTGGAGGAACTAGGGACTAACTCTTGCCCTTAGTGGACAGAGCTGGGCCAAAGATTTGTATTTTCCCTCCACCCCACTACAGGGCACCAAAGCCTTCAGAGCTGGGGTTGGAGTGGGGTGAAAAGAGCCTGTTCTGTAGCTGAAAGGGAACATGAGAAGGAGAAGGGACTTCCTGGTGTTTCCCCTCCCACTCCTGCCATGGGCTTCTGGGCATGACAGCTGGAAAATTTTTCCTCTCTCAATCCCAACAAAGCCAGAGAGCTGTCCCCTGCCTCCTGGACTCATATCTTGTACTTTTTTGGCAACCCTTGGCACCTTTCAACACAGGAAGGTGGAGGGGGTTTGTCTCCCCTGCTTCCACCCCTTCTTTGATAGCATATATATAGTGATCTTCAGGGTTAGGGGTGGGGAGGAAGAGGAGAGTGAGCAAAGTCAACACCGAGGCCAGCTGAGAGCAGCATCTGTCCAGGGCTTCCTCAGGGCTTGTGTGGTAGAGAGCAGGCCCCCTGGCAGTCATCTGATTCTCCGAAGCTGCCTGGGGCTTCTCTGGTACTTCTGAGATCTCTATAGTCAGTGGGACCACTTGCTTCTTGTGCTCAGGCTTCTCAGAGCAAAAAGTGAGGGCAGAAGTCAGGAGATAGTGTGGTGTGTAGGATCACTGTGGCCAGGAAGTAACCAGGGTGAAGACAGCCTAGAATGTGGGCAGGGTCCCCCATCCTGTCTTGAGAGATATGGAAGCCTACGTGGTACCCAAGGGGCTTCCCTTCTGCTAAGGGGAGGGCCCTGAGAGGAAGGAGAAGCCCCTCTCAGTCTGTGAACTCACGCCAGGGGATTTAAGATGCCCCATCTCTCCAGCCAACTACCGCTTTCTTCATGACACCAAGTGCCTCAAGCTGGAATGGGGAAAGGGGACAAGGGTCACTCTATGGGGTGGGGGTGGAAACCAAATCAGCCCAAGGATATATTTAGGACTTCTTTATTAAGTATGTGGTCCTAAATATATCCCACAAAGGAACGTAACTAGAAATAAAGTTTTATGTTTAGAAGGTAAACCCCTGTTTGGCTCTGGTTTTCTTCACTTTAAGGGGTCAGTTCTTGGAGAACGTCTGGCTCTGCCCAAAGCATCCATATCCTACCCTTGCATTCTGGCTTGGTATCTTCTATGATAACCAAATATGCTTTGTCCCAGCGCTTCCTAGTGGTGGATGGCTCAACCCCAGGTCTGGCAGGCACTGGTCAGATCCATAGCACATGACCTTTCTATATCATGGACCCTTTACAAAAGCACAGGAGAGCTATAGATGCTCTTCCTCTCAAAGCTGTATGTGTACACACAATTTTGCATATGGGGGTGGGGGTGGGAATGGACCACAATGTTCAGGTTTAGAACTCCTACCTTAGAAGTCACTAGTTCAATCCCTCTTACAAACAAGGAAACTGAGGCCCAGAGAGGTTGAGTCATTTGGACTCAGCCAGGAAGATTAAGTGTTTTTTTAAAACTCCACACCCTGAACACCCTTTGATTCTCTTTATTATTTGTTTAGGCTGAGTGGAACCCCACCCTCCTGGCCAGCAGCTCATGGCTCACTCCCCAGGGCCTGAGCCTAGGCTTGTACTTAAGTCTCTGTGGTTTCACCAACTATTCAGCCTAGAACACTGAGGCTTCTGTGAGAGGGAGTACAGAGGAGTAACCAACCCCACCCAGTACCCCTCCCATCCCAGGGGACTCACAAACCCGGTCCTGGTTCCTTTCCACTCAGTCACTTTATTCGCCTTTGGCTGGTTTTTCAGGAGGAATGGGGTTGGCAGGAGCCTGGGCTTCATGCGCCCTCTGGTGGGCCTCAGAGGCAAGGACCAGAAAGGACTGGAGAGTCTGGAGGCCACAGTCAATAGAGTTTAGGGGAGGGTTGCAGTGCTCCTCATGACTGCACCCCCGACCCAGCTTCAGGAGATGGTGCATGACGGGAGGAGGCCCTGAACCTCTGGCTCTCATACTCGCCCGTGTTGGATGCCCGCATGTTCTGCCGAGCCTTCATCTGCTTCAAACGGTCCTTGTCCACTTCCCGCTTGGTGAGGATGAAGAGGAGGATACCACAGGGGAAGCCGATGGCCCTAGGGGTGGGGAGATGTGCATGGCATTTGGGGAGGGGCCGAGCCTCAGCCAGAGGAGCTGGGCAGAACCTCATTCCAGCTTCAACTGCACCAACACTGCAATACTACTTGCATCTATTCAGCCTCAGTGTTGGCTGCTGGAAGGCCCCGTGTGAATCGGATCCTGCCACTGCCCTGCTCAAAACCCCGCAACAGTTCTCTGTCACTTCCTGGCCAAGTTCAAACTCCTCGGCGGCATAAAAGGCCTGTGGTTGGGTCTCTGCCCACCTTGTCATTCCTTTTCCCTTTACTTTGACACTCCTCAGCATGAGCCCTGCCAGCCTGCCATAACAACTGTGCAGGGTTCTCCAGACAGCCCATTCTCTACCTCTCCAAGTCTTGGCAAAAGTTCCCTCTGCCTAAACCACCCCACACCCCATCCCTGACTCTCCTTAACCTGAGCAACTGCTATGTGGGAGGCACTTCAGCGTGGGGAAAGGGCGTGGAGTTATAACAACCTGGTGAAAATCCAGCTCTGAGCCTCAGTTCCCTCCTCTGTAAAACAGGGATGTCCTATTTATCTCAGAAAGACTAAAACAATACACAGTAAAGTACTGGCACACCTCGGGTGCTGCAAAAAAAATATTAATTTCTCCCTGCTTTTAATATTGCTCAAGCCTGGCATGCTCCATCCATGGGGTCGCAAAGAGTCGGACACGACTGAGCGACTGAACAACAGCAATGTATTAAGATCAGAATCAAATCCAAATAACAATTCACTGAACATCTTATAGGTGCTACTACTGTATAACTAACATAATCTTGCATGATCTCAATTAAAACCTCAATTGGGTCCTGCCCCAAGCTCCCAAAAGAGAGGATGAGGCCATAGACCCAAATCTGAATCAGATTAGCTCAGCTCAGTGCACAGAAAACCCACTCTCTCTCCAGTTTCAGACGTTGCCACCTCCCTCCCCTGCTCCAGTCCTCTGAGATTCCAGTCCTCACACCCAGCCATTCTGTCCCGGCAACCCTGGATTCAGTTCATCACCTGAAACTTGGAGAAGTTTCTGGGTCCCACCCGCCCCTGGTGCCACTCCCCATTGGTGGGCAAAGAGTTAGTTAAAACTTACCAGGCTAGTCCCACAGCTTTCATGGGGTTCTTGCCCCTCTTTCTGGGGATGTATTCCAGCTCAGGGGAGAGGGGCTCAGGCTCCTCCTTGCACTCTGGGGAGCTGTGGCTTTGCAGTGCCCGGCTCCTGTTCTGGGAAGCCTTGTTAGCAGCGGCTCCTGACAGAATCCCTGTGAATGGAGACAAGGAAGGTCAGTTAAGAGAAGAGGAGAAGAAAGCCTAGGGAGGAGTGACTGAGATCTGAGGAAGGGGAGTGACTGCAATTTGGAGTAACAGGTGCCTGGAAGAGTCCAGAGAGAAATGGGAAAATCGCCATCGAGGTGGCACCTTTGAAAGCCACTTCCACGTCACTGCGGGCTCATCACCCTGGTGCCGGGAGAGCGAGCTTCGCTGTTCTCCATCTCCTCAGACCTCAGGATGTGAGGGGACTGCAGTGGGGCTCGCGTGAGACATATGAAAGAAAATCCGAGAAATGGCTTGCAAACTGCAGAACGTTAGCACTGGAGGGGGAGCTTAAAGGTAGTCTACTCCATCCCCTCATTTTATAGAAGAGGAAACTGAAGCCCCAAGAGACGAACTGCTTCGCCCAAGGTCGAACTGCTAATTATCCGGGGCTAGAACCCAAGCCTCCAAAAGCCCAGGGCTCTTTTCCTCTGCACTGCGGTGAGTGTGAAACACCTGGAGCGCGGGAGTCTAAAAGGCTTCCTCGAGGCTCCCTTTCCGTGAAAGACCCCAGAGGTGTCGTGTAACCGGAAGGCTGAGGGATGGACTGGGTGACTTTTAAAGAGCATCTTTTAGCCCCCAGACTCTTTAAAATCCTGCAGAGGGATGCGGGCAGCAATCGACAGCCCTGAACTCCTGCTACAGCTTAGCGGGATATGAAAAAAATGGCATCTCCTGCAGTCCTGCCCTCCCCGGGGTCCCTCTCCTTACCCCGGAGGACGCGGGCATTTCTCGCCCCCCGGCCCTTCAGCGCCGTAGCAGCTACCACCGCCGCCATGTTCAGATCCCACCCCCCCCTTCACCGCAGTCCCCGCTGGGAATTGTAGTTTGCGTAAGGGGCCTCCCCCGCTGTATCCGTCCAGCCTACAAATCAGAAACTACATCTCCCAGAAGCCCAAGCAGCGGACCCAGGAGAACTACTCTTCCCAGGAGAGGCCCGGAAGCGCGCACGCTCGCTTGTTTCCCTCCTGTTGGGGGCGGAGTCAGGTCGGGCGGAGTTTGGGTTCTCCTCGCCACGCCTCGGCCTCGTCTCCCTCTTCTGTTCTGTGATTGGTGAATCAGCCGGCCCACCCCCTTCGCTATTGGTCAAGAGCCCGTCGCTCTCCCTGCCGGGGGAGTGGCCTACGCCTACTTCCTCCCGGGAGGAGGGGCCCGAGTTCCGCGTCGTCGCGCAGAGCTGACTCTGGGAGGCGTTTGGGCCCAGAGAAGTGGGTCCTCCGCTTGCGCCGCATGGAGTCCGAATCGGAGAGCGGGGCCGCTGCTGACACCCCCCCGTTGGAGACTCTAAGCTTCCATGGTGATGAAGAGATTATCGAGGTGGTAGAACTGGATCCTGGTCCGCCGGACCCGGGTAAGAGCTGCGGATCCTCAGGCCATGGGACAAGAGGCTCTTACCCCTGGCCTTTGACCCCGGCTTCTCCCCACTCTGCTCCCCACCCTACCCCACCCACCTGTCATTCCTATCTACCTCCTTCACCCTTCCCCTCTCCCCTAACCCCACACTTAGTTCTCAGGCCTGGCCCGGGGTGGGGGTTCCCCTGACGCCTCCCCTGGCCCTTCCCCTCACACACCCCCTTCCCATCATTCCCTCGGTCCTCCCTTCCCACACGGTCTCTGGCCAACCCCAGGTCCTCAGAGCTCTCCAGTCCTCCGTTCCGCACGCCCCCTCCTCCCTGTCGCCTCTCACCCCCCGCCTCACCTCTCCTGTCTGACCTCACCTTGCCCTCTCGCCACATGACCACCCCAGCCTCGGGCCTCCTCGCACTTGCCATCCCTCTTACCGCCTGCCGCACACCGTCTGTTAACCCTCTCCCCAAAGCAGACGATCTGGTCCAGGAGATGGAAGATGTGGACTTTGAGGAAGAGGAAGAAGAAGAGGGCAATGAGGAGGGCTGGGTTCTGGAACCCCAGGAAGGGGTGGTCGGCAGCATGGAGGGCCCCGACGACAGCGAGGTCACTTTTGCATTGCATTCTGGTAGGTCCCTGGGGAGATCTGTCCTAAGTTCAGTCCAGGTGGACATTTGAGCATCATCCGCTGTGTAGCAGTGGGAAAATGTTGCTTTTGTGGTGGAGGAGCTGTTGGCTCCTGGAGTCGGTTGAGACACACTTGGGTTCAAATCCTGTCTCTGCTACTTGGTTGTTTATGATCTTTATTGACGTCTCTGGCTTTAGTTTCCTTTTAAAAAGTTGTCATTGATAAAAGTTTCTTTACTCTGAATTAGGGGTAGTAGTACCTTTTGGTTCACCTTTTGGATAATCCTTTTAAATATTAACTCTTGATAAGGAACCAGTAACACAGGCTTTCCTCACTCAGCCCCCAACCTGGGGACACCCCACTCTGAGAACTGTAAGCCCTGCACACGTTCCCTCCTCTCGTCCACCACATAAGTGTGGGATGAAGGGAAGAACACAGGAGAGCGATGTGTCCTGGGGAGGGACTTAGAGTTTGGCAAGCTTGGGGAGGGACTTCTCCAACAACCGAGTGTTTGAAACTTAGAAGGTCTTGGATGCACCCTTCTTTTCCAGGAGGAAAGACATGTTGCTTTAGGTGGAAGGGGGTGGGCTCCCCAAAGGTCCTGAAGGACAGGACTCTAGGTGGAAGCCCCACCTCCTTACTCTTGGAATGTCTCTTGGGACAGCATCAGTGTTCTGTGTGAGCCTGGACCCCAAGACCAACACCTTGGCAGTGACAGGAGGCGAAGACGACAAAGCCTTCGTGTGGAGGCTCAGCGATGGGGAACTGCTCTTTGAGTGTGCAGGTAGGGAGGCTCGGTGAAGTCTTGCCTCTTTGCAGGTCTTAGGGGGCTGGCCTGCAGTGGTTGTGCATCCAATAGCCATTTATTGACCCCTGTTTTGCCAGCTCTATGCTTGGCCCAAGAGCCCCAAAGAATATCCTAGTCTGTTGTGGGCGTGGGGGAGGGAGACACTGATTAGCCGAGGGAGTCAGGGAAAGACCTGGAGGAGGCGACACTAGTGACGGAGAATGGGGGTGGGAAGAAGGCTGTGGATGTTTCAGGCACAGGTGTGGTGTGGACAGAAAGGGGAAGACATAGGTCTGGGCTACACGTGGTCAGCTGGGGGCCCAGGAGTGTCTCGCCTGGGGAGAGCTGGGGGTGTTGGCTCCTGCAGCAGCTGTGAGTTTGGTTACCTGTTCTGTGGGGACTCATCCTTTTTTCCCAGCAGGTACTTTCTGGGGGCCGGATGCCTGGGTCCTGTATCCCCAGCACCAGGTGCTCTGACATTCTCTCCTCTCTCTGCCCACTCTCTGCAGGCCATAAGGACTCTGTGACCTGTGCTGGCTTCAGCCACGACTCCACCCTAGTGGCCACAGGGGATATGAGTGGTCTCTTAAAAGTGTGGCAGGTGGACACAAAGGAGGAGGTCTGGTCTTTTGAAGCAGGAGATCTAGAGGTGAGATTGTCACAGTGGGATTCAACTCCGAGGGCCGGGCAGAGTGGGGAGAGCTCAGGGGCCATGCCTCCTTGAGCAGATCAAGCTAGCTCTGAGCCAGTGCTCTCCCGGAGGACAGCAGGGGTGTCTGGGCTCATCCCCTGGGATGTCTCCACTGACTGACTCGGAAGCAGGGAGAGCTTGGTGGGGCTCTGGAGGCAGACTCCTAGGTGAGATGGGGTGAGGAGAACCCCTGTTGAGCCTTTGTCTCTGCCCAGTGGATGGAATGGCATCCTCGGGCACCTGTCCTCCTGGCGGGCACGGCTGATGGCAACACCTGGATGTGGAAGGTTCCGACTGGTGACTGCAAGACCTTCCAAGGCCCCAACTGCCCGGCAACCTGCGGCCGAGTCCTCCCTGATGGTGAGAGCGGCATCCCTGAGTGTGGACAGGTGGGGTCTGGGTTCCACACCTGCCTGGCACCCTCCTGGGCCATGGTCAGCAAACTCCGAGGTCTGCTGTTGGGAGCACTGACCTCCCAGGACCAGAGCAAACAGCTCTCCCTTTCTCACCCGGAACTGGGTCTCCCCTGGGGCCCTGTCTGTTCCCTTGCTTCCTTGCCTGCCTCCCTCTTCTCTTGCCCGATGCGCTGATGTGTCTGTGCTGGTTGTCTTCTCTTCACCTGCATCTCTGATCCTTTAGGGAAGCGTGCTGTGGTCGGCTATGAAGATGGCACCATCAGGATTTGGGACCTGAAGCAGGGAAACTCTATCCACGTACTAAAAGGTGGGGGAGGTGTTAACCTAGGCCTTTGTGGGGAAAGGGCCAAGACCTGGGTCAGGATGAAGCCTGACTTTCTCCACTGCTTCATCCTAGGGACCGAGGGTCACCAGGGCCCTCTGACCTGTGTCGCTGCCAACCAGGATGGCAGCCTGATCCTCACTGGCTCTGTGGACTGCCAGGCCAAGCTGGTCAGTGCCACCACTGGCAAGGTGAGTGGGGCTTGGAAGCCTGGCTGTGGGGCTCTCTGCGTCTCCTCCGTTTCTTCTCTTTTTCTTCACTCAGCCTCCTCGCCCCAGTGCCTTTTTTCTCTTACTGGAGAACCACGTTTCCAGGCCCTCTTCTGATCCTCTCCTCTGGCTCGTAGGTGGTGGGCGTTTTCAGACCTGAGACTGTGGCCTCTCAGCCAAGCCTGGGAGAAGGGGAGGAGAGTGAGTCCAACTCCGTGGAGTCCTTGGGCTTCTGCAGTGTGTGAGTGTGAGCGTGGCCTCAGCCTGGACACAGGAGCAGGGGGCTTGGGGGAGGAGGCTGGGCTGGGGGACCAGGAAGGACAGAGGGCACCAAGTGCAGGTCCCTCCACGAGCCATCGTGATGCTCTCTTCTGCCCAGGATGCCCCTGGCAGCTGTTGGCTACCTGGATGGGACCTTGGCCATCTATGACCTGTCCACACAGACCCTCAGGCACCAGTGTCAGCACCAGGTACAGGCTGTGGGGAAGCCCAGGTTCTCTGGGAGCATCTGCCCTAGACCTGGCTCCTGTCCAGTCCTCCCTATGGTCCATTATCCCTCCCTCCCTCCTTGAGAGTTGGGAGCAGATGCCCCTGACTCACCCCACTTCTGTGTACCCTTCTGCAGTCGGGCATCGTGCAGCTGCTGTGGGAGGCAGGCACCGCCGTGGTTTACACTTGCAGCCTGGACGGCATCGTGCGCCTCTGGGATGCTCGGACTGGCCGCCTGCTTACTGACTACCGGGGCCACACAGCCGAGATCCTGGACTTTGCCCTCAGCAAGTAAGTGACTTGGGCAAGGGCTGGGGTCTCTGCATATTTGGAAGGTGAGAGTAGCATTGGGGGCCCTTAAAATGTGGGAGGTTTGCTAAAGAAAGCTAGGACCCAAGGCCTGGGCCTGCCTAGGCAGCTGTGCTGGGACCTGCGGGAGTCGTCCTCTGTTGGTGGTGTGGCCTCTCATCTCACTCTTGGGCTCAGGGGCTGGGACTGCCTCCCCGATGCGGGCAGCTCTCCTCTGATCCCCAGGCTGATGGCTGGCTTCAGGAGTGTTCACTGGATGTGGGCTGGTCAGCCCAGCTCCAGGCACTAGCGGTCTAGAGTTGGGGATACACTGGAAGAGCCCCCCCAAAGTGCCCCTGGGTGGTGTGCTTGGGGTGGGCCTTAGGTTCTCCAGTCCTTTCCAACTGTGCTTTCTGTCCACAGAGATGCCTCCTTGGTGGTGACCACGTCGGGAGACCACAAAGCAAAAGTATTTTGTGTCCAGAGACCTGACCGCTAACATCTGCATCATCTGCTTTGTGTCTGGTGTGGAGGGGGCGCAGGGAGACCCCCCCCAGCAGAGGCGGTCGGGTAGGAGGGAAGAGGAGGGGAGGGGCCTCGGACTACTTTCCAACCCCTTCAAACTGACTTGCTCCCTCTCTGCCTCTTCCTTCTCTTAAGAAACCCACCCCTCAGGCCCCTCCTTCCCCCCTCCCCTCCCCCTCACCCAGACCTGGCAGATACTTCAGAGGGAGGTTCAGACCTCTTTCTCTTTCACTTCCTTTGCTGGTGTGAGCCATGGGGGTGTGTGTTTGTATGTGGGGAGTAGGTCTTTGAAGTTCCCGTTCTTTCCCTTCCCAAGTCTCTGGGGGTGGAAAGGAGGAAGAGATGTTAGTTAACAGATTTTAAAAATGTAAATAAAATATACTTCCCAGAGACGTGTCTGTGTGGATTTTGTGGCTGGACGTGAGGAGGAACCAGTGAGGGGCATGTCAGAGTGTTGCTACCCCCCCCTCTGCTGGATTTCAGGGTTCCTCAACTCACCGCCCTCACCTACAACTGCCTGCCTATCCGGAATCTCCCTGGATGTATATCCTCTAGGTTCTTTCCCCAGCTGTTTACCTGTCCCTCCCTGGCTGAGACATGGAATCTCCCTGGATCCTCTAGGTTCTTTCCCCAGCTGTTCACCTGTCCCTCCCTGGCTAAGACATGGAATCTCCCTGGATCCTGTAGGTTCTTTCCCCAGCTGTTCACCTGTCCCTCCCTGGCTAAGACATGGAATGAGATAACCATCACCTGGGCCAGGGGAGCTTTATTCAGTCAGAGTGGGATCATACAGGGACACTCTCTGATCCATGATCCAGAGCTGTGGGGACACGTGGAGACGGGCTTGGCAGCCAAGATGGATGGATGCTTCTGGTGGGAATGAGCAGAGGCCCTCCCTCTAGTTCAAGTCGAGGTCCACGCTGCTTTGGCTGCTGGTATGGTAGGCGGTGCTGGGGCCAGGACTGCCCTGGGGTCTGCCCCGCAGCATCTGGAGCCACCTCTGGGCAGCCGCCCTCCAGGGGGCCGTGTAGCGCTGATCACCCAGCCCCATGGCCACGGGCACAGCCGCTGCACTGGCGCTGCCCAGTGAGATGAGGGACAGCAGAGTTCCAGGCCCCAGTGGTGGGCGCTGCTCAAAGGCCAGGACAGAGAGCAGCAGGGTGGCCACGTAAGGCCCCCAGCACAGCCCGAAGAGCAACGTGGCACCGGCCTGTGCCCTGGCCTGCCGCCAGGTGAGGGCCCGGGCTAGGGCCGAGGGCGCCCCGCGGCACACGGCCCGCTCCAGCCGGCGTATGTCCTGCAGCTGGCGGTGTGCGGTGACCAGCACGCGGACCGAGAGGAGGGCGGCCGCGCCCACGGCTGGCAGCAGGAGCCCATAGATTTCGAGGTAGAGGTAGGGGGCTGGGAAGACGGCCTTGGAGCTGCAGTTGCCACCAGGGGCCCAGTGGTTCCAGCCCAGGGCAGGCAGGCTGGCAAAGAGCAGGGGGGCAGCCCAGGTGAGGAGCAGGGCCAGCCGCATGCTCCCGCGGGGCCGCAGGGGCCGCAGCACGGCCATGTAGCGCTCCCCGTGCACCAGCAGGAGGTTGGCGAGGAGGGAGAGGAAGCAGAAGTTGGGAGCCAAGTAGAGGAAGAGGCAGGACCAGTAGCCCCGGCGGCTCTGGCTCCACAGGGCGGGCAGTGCGGGCAGCGCCAGCCCGGTGAGCAGCCCTGCCAGCAGCAGGCTTAGGAAGAAGCAGCCAGCGGGCGGGCTGCGCAGCCGGCGGTCCCCGGCGATGCCCAGGGCCAGGAGCAGGTTGGCAGCGACGATGAGACTTGCCAGGGCCAGGGAGAGCCCCAGGGCCCCTGCAGGAACGGGGCTGGGCACCTCCTTGGTGCTGTTGGGTGTCATCTTGGGCCTGAGGACGGGGGAGACCTGGAGCAGCAGCAGGCGTGCCTGGTTGGAAGATGGGGTGGCTGGAGTTAGGATGGGGCTGCAGATCACTGTCCTCTCTCGGCAAGTTGCTGTTGTTTCATCGCTAAGTCATATCCGATTCTTTGTGACCCCAGGGACTGTAGGTCACCAGGCTGCTCTGTCCATGGGATTTCCCAGGCCAGAATACTGGAGTGGGTAGCTCTAGTCCCTTCTCCATTGAACTATTGAGCTATTCCCCACCCAGGGACTGAACCCAAGTCTCCTGCATTGGCAGGCAGATTTCTTTACATCTGAACCATCAGGGAAGCTATCCAGAGGTTGTAGACCAATGGACTGTGGACCATATCCTGTTTGCTGATACACATTTTTCCTCCAATGAATTGCCAATTAAAATTTACATAAAAATTAATATTTTTGGTTTAAAAAAAAAATGAGGGCTTATGTAGTAGCAATCAGCTAGAGTTGAGCGGTCACTGCCTGCAGAAAGCTCCCTATAGTCTCCACCCAGCCCTTTCACCCATTTCTGTTACCTGCCTGACCCTCTCTGGGCAGCTGTGTTTATGCCTCTGGTTAGACACACTCACCCCCACAGCATTTGGACCACCCCTGCCTCCACCAGGTGAGGCCTCTAAATCAGCTAAAGGGATAGGATGGAATCTGGCTGGTGTGTAGTGGTCCTCTGGCCAGCCAACAGCTGACAGTCTCCTTTGGGTCATGGGTGGGCCCTGGACCATGGGCTAGGGCTGGGGTGCGGGGGGGCGGGGTGGATATAAATGGAGAGTGGTCCCTGTCTTCAGATGCTTGCAGGCTGGTTGGCACCAGTGTCTTAAAAGGTGGTAGGTTACAGGGATTGGGGGTGGGGGTGGGGGTGGGGTGGGGCAGAAGTCAGTCTGAGGCAGGGCTCACTGAGTTAGCAGCACCAAGGGGTTGCCCTATCCCCAGCACCTCCCTTCCATCCGCCTTGTGGCTGGTTACACTTCAGTGAGCAGCCTCCGGGTAGGACTTCCAGCCCATAAACTTGACGTCCGCACCAGGCTAGCAGCTAGCAACGGGGCCTTTCCTGGGAACTGGAGGAGGGGAAGAGTTGCTGAGGGACGGGGAGGGTTGGCAGTGAGTGTGGAGGGCAAGGGGGGCTGGTGTGAGCCCAGAGATGGAGGGGGAGCTGTTGGGCAGGGCTTGGCCTCTCTGTGGCTCTGACCTGTCCCAGGCCTCCCATGCCCTGGCCCTACTGCCACATCAAGGGGATGAGGGAGGGGGTGTCCTGCCTGGGCCCTGTGGGAAACTCCTGCTTCTGTCAACAGGGGAGCAGCTGCTGTTGCTAGGATCAAAGTCAATAAGGGAAGGATTCCTACCTGCCCCCTCCCCGGAGTGAGAGGGTCGAAGGGCCTCAAGGCCACCCTGAGCACAGGAGATGCTGCCCCTTCTATTCCCAGCTCCCCCAGGTCCCCAGGCCATTGCACCCCTTTACCCTCAGCCTGGTTCCTCTTCCTCAGTGTCCCCCAGTGCCCTCTGCTGGGAACATCCTTCCCTTCCAGCAGCCCTCTGGTTTCTGTTCCCCTTCATCCCTGCACTATTAACTTGTTCAAACCCCGGGAGATCTCAGGGTCCTGAAACTTCAAACCTGGACTCTGGAATCACAGGCTGGAGCTCCCAGCTCTTCTCTGGGAGTGAGTCTCCCACCCCACCTCCACCAGAGCAGCAAGAAAGGCAGGCAGGGTCAGCCCTGCGTGGGGCGGGGGGTGGGGGGGGGGAGGCAGTACATCTCAGCAGTCCCAACCTGGAGGCTCTGGTGGTTTGGGCTGGGTGCAATGGCCTCTTCAGGCCCTGAGGCTGAAGTCTCCAGGTGTGGTCCAGGGGCCGGGTGGGGGCTAGGGTTAGGGTTAGGTAGCTACTCACATGACTGTAGGTGACAGGTGTGGCTTGCCCAGCCTGGGCTCCCCTCCGAGTGTCAGGGAGCTGTCCCGGCCAGCGCTGCAGGGCTTCTGGCGATGTCTGGTGTCCTGACCATTGAGGTCATGGTACCTCCACTGTGTGGAGACAGCAGGGCCCCCAGCTCTCTGCTGCCCTGGCTCTGCCCTTGCCTGGGATGGAGCTGAGGCTGGTGGGACCCAGCCTGGCCCCGCCTCTGGGGGTGGGGCCTGACACACCCTGAGCTGCTGTGCTGGGAAGGCTTCCTCCTTTCTCCGCTCCCCCCCCCACCCCCTCCACGTCCTCCTCCTGTACCAGTGGCCCTGTCTCCAGCCACTGGACATAGCTTGCCACCAAGGAGGCAGCTTGGAGCTCTCTGGCCTGCTACTGCTTAGCTAATCTAAGGAATGCATTCCAGTTAACCAACAAAGATTTAGTCCATCCTCCCCACCTCCCAGCTGATATATTTACATTTTATAAATATATCAGTGGCCAGTCAGCTGATAGCGCATCCAGCTCTGTAATTCTGCCAGTCTGCTGAGTACAGTCTGATGGTGGTGGTGGTGGGGGCCTTTGGAACCTGAGAATCTTCGCTATCTTCCCTTCCTATCACCTGATGGGAACTTTCAGCTTATAAAAGCCAGCCTTGCCTTCTAGAATCTGGGGTCATTCCACACTTTTCTCATTTGCTTTGTGAGTCACGTTTTGGGTTCAGAGGCATGAATGGCCCTGGGGGTGTGACTCTGGGCAAGCCATCTCTCTGGGCCTCTATTTTCTCACCTGTAAAATGGGAACAAGGCAAGGCATCAGTCAGTGTTGCCAGGAGTCTTATGGGATAATATGTGTAACTGCACAAACCCCACTGCCGGACACCTAACGGGGGAGGGGTCTCAAGTGACATCCTTCTTCTCTCCTCCATGAAGACTGAGAAACAGCCAAAGCTTGAATCAGAAGGCCTGGGTTTAAATCTCAAGAATCCTAGTTGGATCCTATTTTTCTGGCTGTGTAAACTTGAGCAAATTATTAAATTCTCTTACCTCAGTTTCCTCATCTGTAAAATGGGGGCTCATACCATTTTCATCTAATGTAAGACTAAATGAGAAAATGTGGGGAGACTTCCCTGGAGGTCCAGGGGTTGACTCCACCCTTCAACTACAGGGGCACAGGTTCAATCTCTAGTTGGAGTATATCCCACATGCCACATGGTGTGGTCAAAAAAAAGTGGAGTAAGGACTTGGGTCAGTGGTTGGCACAGAAGCAGTCAACGAAAGGAACTTCTGGCCTTTTCTGCACGTCCCCTCTGAGAATTCCATTGAAATAAGCGGATGAAGAGCTTGTGAATAGCAAGATAGTAATGACACTTTCACTTCACAAGGAAACACAGGAAACTGAGTGAGAGGAAGGGCAAGTTCAAGGCTAGGAAGCACTGATTTCCATCTTGTGTCAAGTGTAACTTTGGGGAGAGGGAGAGAAGAAGCAGTTACATTTTCTTGAGACCTGAAATGGGAGAAAACAGGCTAAAACTTCAGCAAGAAAGCTGGAGGCTAGACATTAGGAAAAGCTTTCTCGTTCAAGAGCACATGAAGATGGAACAAGGGGTCCTCTGCTCTCTCCCAAGAAGATCTGGGCCTGAAGGGTTGGAGGCCTGAGAGGTCTGGCTCCGCCAACTCTGCACGGCAGTCAGGGGTCCTGGAGAGAAGGGCCTCTGGACGAAAAGTGGGAGAAGCATCCAGTCTCAGGCCTGTCCTCAAGGGAGCTGGTGGCTAGGAGGACGCAGCGTTCCAGGGGATGGCTCCCAGCCCCACGCTCTCTGGTTGGGCAGAAGTCAAGAGGCTCTGGGAGAGTTCAGACTGAGGTCTGGACAGAAGTGGAGTGGGGCCCCTCAGATCCTGAACTGCCGAGAATAAACAGACCTCCCTCTGTTCCCAGCCCTGGCCTCCTCCCGGCAGCCTCCAGGATGTCTGTTTCTTCTCCGCTGCTCTGTCTAAACAGTGTGTGGGATGACGTGTAAAGAACAACTCTGGGAGCAGGAGTCGGGCAGCCTGGGTTCTGTCCTCCGCTCAGCTGTTTGCTCCTGACTTGATCGTCTGGTTCCTCTGTTCCATCAATCCCTGGGACTGACTCATCCGCAGTCTTCTCTCCTTTGCTCACAGGAGGGCTCTGATGCAGGAAGTCTTCAGATGCTCCAATCAGCTGACTCTTCAGGCCCTAGAGTCCCCACCCCAGTCCCTCTTCTCTCCTTAGGTCCAGCCTGTTATCACGATGCCTGATGTGGACAGGGGCAGGAAATGCACCTGGGTTGCCTTAGTCACTCTGTTCTCCTGAGCATTTAACTTTTCTGTTGACCCTGGGTGTCTGGGACTGGGTGGTGAGGGTCGGGAGGTACTCACTGACTGGATGAACAGAGGCAAAGTGGTGATGAGCGGCTATCAAACAGTTCAACCTTCCCCAGATGCAACAGCAGACGAGCCCCTGGGAGTCTCTGGAGGGTTGTGGGCACAATACTGTGACCAAGATTGAGGAAGCCCTAAGTCAGCTATATGAGCAGAGGAAACTGGTCCTTCCTGTTAGGGATAAATGACAGATCTCTCACAGAAATTTAACAGTGCTTTTAGCAATCCCCAGAAGGGGGCAGCATTGCTTGAACTCGGAATAGCCCCAAGAATGGACCCAGGCTTGGGTCTTGGGCCTCTGTGGCTGCTGGGCTGAGGCTGAGGGTCCATCAGGCCTACTTTGAATGAGACTGAAGGAACTGAAATGGTAACAGCGGAGAAGCAGCTCTGGGTATGTGGGCTGACACAGAAGCTGGTGTTACTTCCTCTTCCTGGCTTCAATTTCCCGCCCTTTGGTTCCACACTTCTACTTCCTGTTACTGTCTTGTCTTCCCTCCAAGCTCCTGGTTTTTAGCTTCTCCAGGTCCCACTTTCTCCAGACTTGCAGATACCCACCAACACCTTCCTCACCTCAAACTGCAGTATGAGGGCCACCAGCAAAAAATAGCACCATTTTTGGGGAGGATCTGAAAAACCCCAAAGCAGAATAACCTTGGTTTATGCTGCCTTCTTATCCCCTTGGGAGTGTAAGAATGTAACTAAGATTTATTAGAAAGCATTATCAACTATAATCATAGGCATTATCAGTCAGTTCAGTTCAGTCGCTCAGTTGTGTCTATTTGTGACCCCATGGACCACAGCATGCCAGGCCTCCCTGTCCATCACCAACTCCTGGAGTTTACTCAAACTCATTTCCATTGAGTCAGTGATGCCATCCAACCATCTCATCCTCTGTCGTCCCCTTCTCCCACCTTCAATCTTTCCCAGCATCAGGGTCTTTTCCAATGAATCAGTTCTTCAAATCAGGCGGCCAAAATATTGGAGTTTCAGTTTCAGCATCAGTCCTTTCAATGAATAATCATGAACTGGTTGGATCTCCTTGCAGTCCAAGGGACTCTCAAGGGTATTCTCCAATACCACAGTTCAAAAGCATCAATTCTTCAGCGCTCAGCTTTCCTTATAGTCCAACTCTCACATCCATACATGACTACTGGAAAAACCATAGCTTTGACTAGACGGACCTCTGTTGGCAAAATGATTTCTCTGCTTTTTAACATGTTGTCTACGTTGGTCGTAACTTTTCTTCCAAGGAGCAAGGGTCTTAATTTCACACTGCAGTCACCATCTTCAATGATTTTGGAGCCCCAAAACATGAAAGTCTGCCACCATTTCCCCATCTATTTGCCATGAAGTGATAGGACCAGATGCCACTATCTTAGTTTTCTGAATGTTGAGCTTTAAGCCAACTTTTTCACTCATTATAAATGCTTACTATGTGATAGGCACTTACCTGTTGTCTACTCCTTTTAAGAGCCCCTTGAGATAGGTGGAGTCATGTCCAACCAAAGATGAGGCCACTGGTGCTCAGATTAAGAAATCTACTCAGTCACATAGCTACTAAGTGGAACCTGGATTCAAACCCAGGTCTCTCTAAGAACACTTTTGCAGCTCTCAAGTTTACATCCCAGCTTATCTATACCTCCCAGGTATGGACCTTTGGGCAAAGGAGCAAATTAGCACCAACTGAGACTAGATCCCATTTTCCCAGCCCACATCCTCAGTGTGCTGAAGTCCTCCTACAATGGGCTTTGGCTGAAGTTACAGTGGGCCTTCGTCCGTAACGGTGAAGGAGGACCCTTGAGAAAGAGTTAAGTGTGCCCTGGAAACAGATGTAGACAAAGAAGCGTCTGGAGGGGGTTTTCCTCAGTATGAGTTTTTATGCTGATGAAGTCTTGGAATTAAGACAATTCCTTATGGTTTACTGCTGTAAAAAATACTTAATGCCTCTCTTTTTCTCCTAACTCCCTATCTTCTAAGCAATTTTGGTTTTGCCATTTACAGCACTTTCCAGAAATCCGATCCCTATTATTGGCAAAATATAGTTGAGTTCCAACTTACTAAGGAGGTATGTTCTAAACTCAGAGGGATGGCAAACACACTCTCTAGCAAAATTACCTTCACAAACCCCTTACACAGGGGTACAGAACACATCTATGTCACTGTCTCCCAATAGATCTAACTTAGCCCAGTTTTCCATCTACCAGAGGTAGGTGATGAGGGGCCACATCCCCGGATAACACAGGGCAGACTAGGCAGTGAGCTCTCTCCACTGCAGGTCCCGGTTGGCACCACCAAGGGGACAGCACTCTCCAGGGCAATTGTTTGTTGAGGGCATGGGAGCATAACTGATCCTGAGCTTTCCAGAATCTCGTTTATAAAGAGTAAAGTGAAGTTTACTGTCCCTTCAAATCTGACCATGACCCACAATAAAGACATTTTTATGACCTAGTCAATATGTCCACAACTAAGACATATTTCAGAATTAGTACTTACCCATAATAGGAGTGATGTACTCAGCATATGACACAACAGCACCTACTATTCCATTTTAAAATGTTGAAGATGAAGTCACACACGTGAAAAAAAACACACAGGCAACAACACACACACACACACACACACACACAAATGAGTTGCATGTAAAACTGGGGAAATATGAGTAAGATTGTGATCGTGTCAACATTAGCTTCCTCCTGGCAATTATACTGTATTACAGGATTTTAGCACTGTTTCTTACAACTGCAGTGAATCTACAAATACCTCATAACTGCTGAGGAAATGTCAGATTTCACAATTCATTGACAGTCTCAAACCAGTCTGAAACACAATGAACTGGATAGAGACAAATTAAAAAGTTTTACAGTGCATGTTCAAGTTTACTTAGAAATGCCAACTAAGAGCTTATCAGTGAGCCTTTCTCCCCTCTACAGGGAGGGTGGGGGTGAGGGGGCTCTTGAACCTAAGCTTCTCCAGTGCAGGTTTGCAGGTTCAAGGGCAGTACTGATGCATCCTTCATCCCTCCTTTTTTTTTTTTTGGGGGGGGGGGGACGACTCCCAGACCAGAAACCAAGTGAATTTTCATGTAAGATAGAAAGATTTTCTTTATTAATGACCCCAACCGTATTTCTTTAGATACAGGAGTTTTGAACTCAAATACTTAGAGAAAACAAGTTAAGATTGCATTATCCTGCAACTCATTACCAGTAACATATTGCAAAGCAAAACAGCTTGGAAAAGAGGGGGAGGGAAAGGGGAGTGAGGGAGGGAAGATAAAGAAAAGGAATTAAGTTGATCAAGTGGAATTCTTTTTTTTTTAATTCTTGGGAACCATGAAGTCCTTGCAAGCACAGCTCGTTTTTGCAGATTATTTTCCAAACGTGTACAAAATGGAACCAAAACGGAGAATCCCTTAAGAACCTGAAGAGGTGCAACATTAAAAGCTACGATTATCCAGTAGCAAGTGTTCCAGCCTTCAGTTGCCAGCCGCTTCCTCTTCCTGTTCCCAAGAGTTAGCGGGATGAAAACGTCTTCCCCCTTCAAAAGCAGAGATTAAATGTGAAGGTTAGTTTCTGCTTACCTTCCTATCCACCCCACGCTCTGCACTAGAGATAGGGTCAATGTTTCTCAAGCAGAGGTATGCGGGAACTCCAGGCAAGGGTTAAGGTCCAGCTTTCACAGAAACAACCCATCAGCTCTTTCTTCCTATTGAATACTTCAGGGTACCAAGTAATAAGCCCATGAGGACAGTAAATATACCAAGTTAGATAGGAGAATCACCTGCCCACAATTTCGGGATGGCCTAGATCTACCTGCATTTTAGACTGGTCTCAACCCTCTTCTGAGTAAAGAATTTGGGGTCCTCCTAACACAGCTTATACCTTTTTCAGGCTAGCAGACAGCAGTTCCTTAAATCTTTCCCCATGGGGCCAGGATGTCAGAAGAAGCCACCCTCCAAACTTTCCAAGTTTAAAGGTGCTTTGTGTTGTCAGACGGTGACTACACTCAGTCACAAAACACTTGCTTCACTTAAGGCTCCTGAGCTGGGGTGTCTTGTCGTACCCAGCATTCTAAGAATGGCCAACTTTGGGAATGGTTCCCAAAGATGGAGGGTACCTATCTGGCACAGAAGCCTGGAAGCTAGAGCGGAGGACTATGGGAACTAAGATTTTCCTGTCTGGAATGTCTTACCCTACCACAGATGAAGCTAAAATATTTTGTCATCCATTCCCCAATAGAAAGCTCAAATCTGACAGAGCTCTGTGGGGTGCTGATGGCTGGCTTCTGATCACAGCAGGGTTGCCACCCTTTTATGCTGCTCCAGGTTCTGAGAACCCAGAGCAGAAGAGGGGTCCTGGCTTCTCCTGCCTAGCCTTGGGAACTCAATCTGGTTTTCAGGGTTGTTTAGCTCCTGCTTCTCCTTTCTGGGGCTCACCTCTGCCAAAGAGAGGTCACAGGACAGAAAAAGGCAAAGCTGCTCTCCTTAAGTTCCAGGAAGGAAGTTTATGGACGACTGGCTCATTTCAAGGACTCATCTTTTCTCAGTCCCCCATCAGGACAGGGAGTTGTTCCTGCCCTTCCACTGCACCTGCTTTGCAGTGACCCCACACTCCAAGGCTGCTGGGCTGTGTGATGGAGCCAGGGGAGAAGCCCTGTGGGGAGACACTGGGTAGTTGGCTGCCTGGTGGGCGTTTCTACTGGACGTACAGGGCTGAAGGTGACAGCAGAAGTTTGTGACTATTTATGATGCCCAGCCCCTATTTGGTGGGCCACAGGCTGGCAGGTCAGGCTGCCTTCTACTGTACTGGCTGCCGGCTCACCTCCTGGCCTCTACTGAACGGGGCCCTGAAAGTGGCACAAAATTGGCTGCCTCACACTCAAAGTCACCAACGTGGTGTGCGTGAAAGAAGCAAGCAGGCAAGCAAAGGGAGACCTGTCCACCCTATGATGGAGGTTAAGAGTCTGCAGGGCAGCGAGAGACGTGCCCCCAGGACACGCCCACCCTGCCTCCCCACCTTTCACATTCTGCCCATTTTAGGCTGTGCCACAAAGCTGCAGAGTAGAAGGAATGATGCTGCCATTGTCTTGCCATGGCACGTGGGCACTTCTCTCTAAGCAGAGGATCCAGCTGTGGACTGAACACTCTGTGGGCTCTGGGCAGTGCGAGGAGTTAATTCTAGAGAAAGGTCCTTGGTATCAATTTCCTAGTGAGACAGGCAGCCTCTAAAGTCTAGAAGGCAGGGGTGACTTACACTGCTCTCTATAAATGTCTGATGCTTCTGAGATTAAAAGCACTCTGCTCAGGCGCCCAAGACTCAGACCCTCTCTCACCTTGTTAAATGGCAGCAAAAACTAGCTTGGTAGAAGAGGCCAAGGGAAGGAGCCTGAAGGCCTAGGCACGACATACCTATAGAAGGTTATCCCAAGAGTGTGGGGTCCTGGAAATGGCTGTGAGGGTTGTGGGGGGGCTTAGTTCACCTCAGGACATTTAATTCAATGGGAACAAATGATAGGAGACGAGCACCTATTTCTCTGCCTGGAGAACAGGATGGTGGAAACCTTACCAGAGGGGGTCCCAAGAGTCGGCACCTGGCACAGACCCAAACCCCCAGGCCCCTGACCATGCTGCTCTACTGTGGACAGTGTCCTGCATCCTTTAGGGCGCTCCTCATCATCTCCACCTCAGATAAAGTTGACCTCCTATTCAGGCAAAATTCCTGCCAAGACTTGGACCAGGAAAGAGAATGCTCTGGAATAGTTCCAGGCCTATTTATGCAACTATATGTCTTCAAGCAGATTATTCCACTTCTACAAGAAGACATCAAGACAGTTAAGATAGGCCTCTCAACTCAGGCCCAAAGAGAACATAGTTCATCTTGGTAAAAAGGTCTGTGTTTCTTCCTAGCAGCCACTCTCCTCGATCACAGAGATGTTGAAACAAGGAGGCCCATTCAGACGTGAAAACCTCTTTGTCTCCCATCTTTAGTCTGCCAGGCAGCTATAGGCGCCCCACTGCCTGTCTCACCTGCAGCCACTGCCCAGACACCTGGGTCACCGACACCCATGACCTCCTTGGTAAGCTTAGGAGAGGAAGGCAGTCCTGCTGCAGGATGGTGCTACTCACGTGATTGTTTTCATTTCCTTTTTCTCGGCATCTGGGCGTGCACGGTTCAGCACCTTGAGGAAGTCCGATGTTTTTGCCCGCATACGTGTGTGAATATAGGCCTGGAGGCAAACACAATGGGTACTGAAGCAGAGTCATGTTCCAGAAAGGCTTTGCTCTAAGTAGTGGAAATTATCAGAAAGGTTTGGGAACATCCACCTTGGGGTTGACGTAGGGCTGTGCAAGGAAGCATATATTCACCTTTCTGCTATGGAGTGAGAGAGATGGAGAAAGGCCATGATTCAAAGCCTACAGAACCATCTCTGTAGAGTTCCTAGCAACAGCATGGACCAGAGAGGACTTTATGCCATGAGCTCTGGTGGAAAGAATGGCCCGGAGCACAGGTGCTGTGGCTGCTCCCACTCACCTTAGAGCACTTGATGTGGTAGTGCAGGTAGTCCCGGAACGTGTGGATCAGGTTGATGGTGTTGTCTCGAGCACTGGCGTTGGTGTGGCGAGGGAACAGCACTGGGTGGGGGCACAGACAAGGTGTCAAGGTCTAGTAACACCAATGCCAAAGGGTGCAAAGACCAGCAGCCTACCGTCGTCTCCCATCTAGCCCTGCTTCGGGACTGTCCACTTGTTTCATTAGGGTTTTCTGCCAGTGAGTGCAAATGGAAGAGACCATGGCCAAAAACCAGGGCTCCCCAGGGGAAGGGCTTGGTCCTGGCATTCATTCCGGGTCTGGATTCTCCAGCTGTGCACTGTGAAATCTACTAGCTCCTGCCTCTCAGAAGCCTCTCTAGAAGATGACACAACTGGCTACCTGGGTGGACTCTGGAGCAATGGGGATTAGAGAACAAAGCCTGCCTGCTGCAGGCCCTTGTTGCCAAGGCAGAGTAAGCGTTCAGAGAAACTAGATCCCTAGAGGACCATGTAGTCTGTGGTGAACACCAAACAGGAAGGGACAAGAACCTGAGCACTCCTGATGGGGAATGGCAGGAGGAGTTGCTTTGGATGGGGGCTGAAAAAGCGCCTGCCACTGCACGACGCCATGAAGTCCTGTGCAGTCAGTCACTCAGCTTCACACCTGGGCAGACCTGCATGCCTCTCCCTCTGGCTTCTGGGAATCGCCTCTATCTTCTGCATCTATCCTACTCAGTGGAATTGGCATCACCGAAGTCCTTGAGTATCAAGTTTTGTTGAAACGAAAAGAAATGCCTCCTAAGAAAGGGTGGGACCACTGTGTGTCAACTTGCCCTCAAGAGAAAAGAGCGCCAGGCCAGGAGATAACTATACTGCAGAGGTCCTGAGATGCTAATGACTATATAAGTTCACCATCAGTTTATGTAGCACAAAGAAAGACACTGCTAATTAAACTGTAACAGGCTGTCCCAACCTCAGAGAGAGTAACGTGCTAAAAAAAAAAAAATGTAGATTAGATTTAAGAAAACCTGGTTAATCAACCCGCTCATCGCCGAAGTGCTGGTGAAACTTCAGCATGCAGGTGACTTAGAGAACTTCACAAAAGGGGACATTTTAGTGCCGTCAGGGTAAGTGTGCGCATGAGCTGTGATTCTAAACTGTCAGCTGTTAACGATGAACCAGCTCACTAGGCTGAAGCAAGCTGTGAGAGGGGTGGATGTGAATCTCTCCAGAGGGAAAGTGGGTAAGCGAATCATGGCTGGAGCTCTGGTCTGATGAGCAAAAAAAACCTAACAGGCGCCAAAGGACAAGAGAACCCCGTCCAGCCGCTTAGCAGTGTTTATGTGGCCCTAACCTCTCCTACTTCACACCAGAAGCTACCCTTTTCCCCCCTGAGGATTTAGATAAAACAGGGAAAAAAGGAAAATGATTACTGTATAAAAATAAAAACAGTGCATGACTTGTATTAGTGCTCCATGCCATGCCTCCTACAGTCATGGCACTGGCAACAGGAACACTCTGGCACACCTGCTTTCACCACTCAGCCCCATTTCAACTGCAGTAGGAACCCACCAAGGTGTGCAAATGTGGCAACCCCGCCCGGCTCACCGAAGGTAATGTAGCCGATGTTGTCACCCACGGCGGCATCAGTATCTTTCAGCTCTAGGGGAGGTTCCCTGTGGCTGAAGAGGACCTGTGGGGCTGTGTGGCTGGCTCTGCGTCCTTCTTTGAACTCCTGCCAGGGTGAAGCAAAAAGCAGCCAGAAGAGAATCTGGTGTGAGATGAACAGCAAGAACAGCAACCTATGCTCTGGGGTTTGCCCTGTGATGTGACCTCTGAGCCCTCTGTCTGGCAGAGGCTAAAAATGAATGACACCTAATGTGAAACACTGGTCTTCCCTGGTAGCTCAGCTGGTAAAGAATCCACCTGCGATGCAGGAGACCCCAGTTCGATTCCAGGCTTGGGAAGCTCCCCTGGAGAAGGCATAGGCTCCCCACTCCAGTATTCTTGGGCTTCCCTGGTGGCTCGGATGGTAGAGAATCCGCCTGCAATGCGGGAGACCTGGGTTCAATCCCTGGGTTGGGAAGATTCCCCTCGAGGAGGGCATGGCAACCCATTCTAGTATTCTTGCCTGGAGAATCCCCATGGACAGAGGAGCCTGGCGGGCTACAGTCCATGGGGTTGCGGAGTCAGACATGACTGAGTGATTCAGCACAGCACAGCGTGAAATATTACAAGTGTTGGCTGCCATCAGTGCACTTCAGATTCAAAGAGGAGAGATCACCAAGTACTTAACAAGTCTGATCTTCAAAGAGTGAAGAAAAGCACTGTTAATCCTCTTCCCTTTCTTTTGTTTTGGAAAAATATGCATGATAAAATTACTTCTGAGGCTAAATAGACAACAAATTGCAAAGCACTCAGAGAACCAGATTATGCTCAGGATAAGGATGACAGTTTATTAGTTTCTTTTGATTTAATATGAAAGGAGGTTATATTTTTCAGGAAATTTGATTAAGATGTCAAGTGGAGCTCAAGTAAGAGCTCACCCTTGACAAAATGTATCCACCCTCATCAAACTACAGAAAAATGCCTAAGGATGTCAAAACCAAGCCATTCTTCCCCGTCCTAACTTCCACATTTCAAGCGTTCCCAATCCATACATTCCTGTATAAACAGGTAAGTGACATGAGGCATCCCCGTCTCAACCCAGATCTGTAATAACAGGACTGGACTTTCCAGCAACGCCAGTAAAACCTATGGTTTAAACTCTCTGGAGGACAGAAAGATGGAACCAAAAGTTTTCCAAGGTCCCTGAATTTTCTGAGTGTACTGAGAGCAAGTCATATAGCCCTTCAGTCTACAAGTTCCTTCTACTGCTGCCCAGATATAACGTTCTCTCCAACAGCCTGGGCACAGCTGGCTGCTCTCCTGTGGGGAGAGCAGCTTTTCTACAAACCTCTACTGTGATTTTTCACTATTCATTAATGCATCTGGCTTCCCTACCAGGTTTTAGGCTCCTCAAGTCAAGGATTCTTTTATTCATCTCTGTACCTAGTCCTGTGCCCTTCAAAGAGGCTGTCTAGCACAAGGATGAGAAAGCACGCACCACTCCCCTAGCTGACAGTCAGCACACTGTGAAGGAAGGGACTACACTTCCACCCGCAGCAGGAGGACACACGCTGACGGGCAAGCCCTCAGCAGCGGATATGTGAAGGAAGGATACTACCTGAGGAGGCCTAATGCCCAGCGGGGAGCTCATCTGTCAGCCCCTGCCTTCTGAACTCCTTGTGTAGCTTCCACAGGTTGGTGGGAAATAACATCACTGGGTTAGGTGAGCTCCCCTCTGAACTTTGATCCCCAAAGGAAAAATATCTGAAGAGGGAGGGAAGGATCCAAGATAATTCAAAATGGAAATCCTTAAAGCAAAGCTGCTGAAACTGCCCTTCTCTAGAAAATACCGTTCATTCTGCAACTGGGTTGGGAGGTTCTCTAACTTCTATCAGTTTCCCTCTTTTAGCCCTGGCGGGGAGAACAGATAAAAACTGCCTGCCAGCACTTTGTGTTTCATAAGTTTCTTGAATGCTCCAGTTCACTGGTACATGTGGCGTTCACAACCAGATGGGAGTATCTGTAAACCTGTGGTGACTTGGCAGCATTTCTCAGTTTTGTACATGGAGAATGATACATTTCAGAGTTGGTTAACAATATACTGACTTGGGGCTATAATTCAGGCAATCTCCTGCCTTTGTTTCTCCTTGGTTTTTCTCTCTTACAAAACACTTAAAAGCCAATCAACCCACCAACCCAGCGCTTTTTGCTTTAAGAGTCTTGTTACATATGTATCAGCAATACTGCCTCTTTTTTCTCCCTTTTTTTCCTCTTTGGGGCATCACAATATTATTTCTTTCTTCCATCAAAGCACAACTGACCACAGAAGCTCAGAATAAACCCAAATATACACAGAAATTAAGTATATGATAAAGGCAGCATCTTAAACCAGTAGTGTAAACATGGACTTTTAAACAGCTGCCACTGGGACAGGGAGTAGTCACTTAGGAAAAAGATGGCTCCACCTTTCATATCTTGCACCAAGAGAAACTACCCATAGGCAGTAAGATTTACACATAAAACATGAAACTATAAAAACACCAGGAAAATAATGCAGGTAGATTTCTTTACAACCTTGCAGTAGGGAAGGCGTTTCTAACTATGACTCAAAATCTAGAAGCCACAGAGGTTGATCAATTTCACTACATGAAAATAAAGTTCTACCTGGGGGGAAACCAAACAACAAAAACAACCCACTAAGTCTAATGACTAACTGGAAAAAAAAATCTGCAAACTCTTATCACAGACAAACCGCCAGTCTCCCAAGTATGTGAAGAAACTGAGAAAATCAATAACCCAATAGAAAAATGGGTAGGGGCCATCAAGAGACATCTCACAAGAAAAGAAAAAAAACACCCTTCAGCGTTAAGAAAAAAAAAGATGTTTTGACTGTGTTCATGAGAGAAAGCAGAAACCATTTTTAACCTGTCAGACTGGCAGAAATCCACAAGTTCAACACCACTTTGGGAAAATGGACACTCATGCATTGGAGGTGGGAGGGAAATAGCATAACCTCTTGGGAAAATGGACACTCATGCATTGGAGGTGGGAGGGAAATAGCATAACCTCTCTGGAGAAGGGGTTGGCAATGCTACCAAAATTACTCACTTTGCCTCAGGGTCCCCAGTTCAGGAAAATATCCTACAGGTGTAACCCCACATGTATACAGGCAGCAAGGATCCTCAGAATAACATCTTCACTACTGCCTACGAGGCAAATTGCTTGTCTTGTCCTGAACATATAGTAACCAGTGGTTTCCACTTAATTTTTCTTACCTACTGAACTAACTTAAAAGATCTAGTTATATAAACAATTCTAGTTCACCAATCTCTGAAAGGGTAACTATTACTTTTCACGTAATGAGTGCTGAAATGGTATCTACCAGGTTTTCTCTGATGCTCACAGCTCATATACCTACAAAGGTGAGCACTAGCACATCCATAAGAGTGGGGAATGCCCCTCCCTGTCTTTTCCCAAATGACAGCAATAAGCATCCCTCCAAGTCAGCCTGCCAAATGACAAGGGAGGGATGGCATTCTGACCAGGCTGGAGGTGCATGTCAGCATGGGAAATAAGGACGCACAACAGACAGACAAGTGACCACGACCAGCCTTCCCAGGTCACGGCATTCTAGGCTAGGCATTCACTGCTCTCCTTTTTCCTAGAAATTTAAAATAACTAGGCCTAGGACAGTGCTTGATTTATTTTGGAGGGGAAAACCAGCAAAGTAAGTCCACATTACTAAGGTCATTTCAAGTAAATTACCACTGCCTCTGAGTCTGGAGAGGGAGGAAGGGCAGACAGCTTCCTGGGCACCGCCTTTTCACATGGGGTCAGGCCGTCACTCACTGGAGACACTGTCAGTACAAAAACGCAGACCTTCTTTTCTCTTTTAGGCAAGTGTCCCACCACATGGACTCTGAGGGAGAGCATAAGTTCACATGCAAAAAAGAATACTCAAAATTCTCCTAAGGAACAAATCTCCAGTACACTCTCCAAGACAAGATCTGTTTAAAGTATAAAAATAAGTTAAGATGCTGTCTGGAATAAAATGGAAGAAGACTGGTAAAAAAAACCCAGCCAAATCTAAATATATACTTCATAGGTTTTAAAATTAGCTTGTCAGTCTGGATTTGGCCCAATTTCTGAGCTACTGCATTTAATTCCCCTGTCAATTCTGCATAAAAACACATGAAATGCCTGTCTGAGGTTTACATTTAGGACCTAAGACATACATATCTGTGTGTCCGCACACACACACTTTTGAAAGTTTAGTACTCTCAAACGCTGTGTCAATATTCTGATTCTTCTGCATGGGGACTACAAAATTAGTTTCTGATTAATTAGCTTAACACAAAAAGCCACTACAGATGGTCAAATGGAGAATATCCCTTCTGAAGATTCCCCTAGCCACTGAGAATGCCTACACATAAAGTATTCTCACTATATTAAGCACAATTATTTTTCAACTCAACCTGGCAAAAGAGGTTCTGTCCTGGAATTCTTAAATTTCATTACCCTGCCAAGGAACAGAATGAACATACAAAGTTTTGTGTTTTTTTTTTGAAATTTAACCTCTGTACTAGACTTTGAATACTGAGCTGTCTCATAAGAAATATGCCAGGATACCACTTCACCAGTGAGCTCTCATGTCCCAAAGCCAGCTACCGGTTAGCAGACAGCATGACAAAGCCACAATGGTTATATTGTGTCAGACCCGAGTTCAACCACACCAGAAATCCAATTACAAAATGTCCTGCTAACCCCCATTACTCTTCTAGTAGATGAGCTGCTTCTGAGGGAGGTGCTCCATGGGAACCTCAGCCAAACTCAGGCCCATTCTCTTCACTGCCAGTTTGACAACTCTACGCTATTAATGCATTACCGACCACCTAAGAATTTTCTCTAGACTCCATTCTGAAAAGACTTTAGAACTAATAAGTAGCCAACAAACCTTGCTAGAAGCTTGAAGAAAACTTAAGAGGGCAGGAAACGTGACCAAGCTTTAAATCAAAGACCCCATGGCAGGAAGGATATTTCATATTCAGTCATCTTGTTACTGTGTGCTATGCTTAGTTGCTCAGTCATGTCTGATTCTTTGTGACTCCCATTCTGTAGCCCACCAGGCTCCTCTGTCCATGGGGATTCTCCAGTCAAGAATACTAGAGTGGGCTGCCACTCCAAGGGATCCTCTTCCAGGGGATCTTCCCAACCTAGGGATTGAACCCAGGTCTCCCGTGCTGCAGGTGGATTCTTTACCGTCTGAACCAACTCTAGTTCAGTCCCGGAAAAGGGCTAAAAGCACTAAGAAAAAAAAATTCAGTGAGTTTGATGGAGGACTGTTTAACTAAATCAAGTTTCAACATCAATAGGACTGCCAGTTCTTATCTTTTTAAAAAAATATCTACTTATTTATTATTTAGCTGTGCTGGGTCTTAGTTGTGGCATGTGGGATCCAGCTCCCTGACCAGGGATCGAACCTGGGCCCCCTTGCATTGGAGTGAGGAATCTTAGCCACTGGACCACGAGGGAAGTCTCTTTGATGGCAGGGTGTAAGTCACTAGGCCATGGTTCCCCTATCCCTGCCCCAAGATGTCCGCTCCATACCTGCATGAACACCTTTCCAATGACCACATCGTCGTCATCCTTAAACACTGTGCTGAAGACTACTGTGACTCTGTCCTTTTTTGACTCAACATACCTGAGGGGAACAAAACCCATGAGTAAGTACAGAATCAGAAGAGGGTTTTGTCGAGAACTTGATCTACAAGTGAAGCAGGAGGGTAAGGCCATCATAAACCTTTTAATTCATAAAACAAGTTGTGCTAGTGAGACTGAATATTTATGGCCATGAAGTCAGTACAACAAATGCAAACTTTACGCGAGGCAAGAGATGAAAATCACCCAAAGTGGACATTATGAACTTGTCTATACGGTATGATTTGGAATCCAGAGTTAGCTGATTCTCAGAACCCCACTTTAAAAAATATTTCTTAGAACCTATAGTTACCCTCGGCCTCCTGATTACCCAGCTAAATTATAGAAGGGGACTCAAAATGTTAGTGCCTTAAAGGAAGTGCTAGATTCTCTTTTTATCTTCTGCCAACTTTCTGTAGACAAGGAGAAGTGGCCTTCTCCCTCGCCACACCATCTATATACTGGGTTAAAGAATTTTATGAGAAAGACACTTTGGGGGGCTTCACACAATATAGTTTAAGGTCTGACTTAGCTGAACCTCTTTTGGTAAGCACATGTGACAGACACAACCAAGTTTCAGGACCAAATTCTACCTATACTCACATGGTCTCATCATCCCTATAATGGATAACTGCCCTGTTCTCCCCTTCCTTGCCCTCTTCTTGGAACTGGAAGTATTTCTCAAAGACAGAGGCAAAACAGTTTCGTTTCAACATGCCAGCCTGATGCACGATGGAATCCTTGGATGCAGGCAGATTTTCAAGGTCGTATAGCAAAGAGACATTGTATCCTGGAGGGGAAAAAAAAAACACCCAGTAGGTATATTAAAAAAAAAAATGCAGTCCACTCCCATCTTCCTCAAAGGACAAATGAGGTGAAATAAAACCTTAATTCTTATTGTAAATATATATAGCTAATTAACAGATACCACGCAACAATCTAAATCAGTATCAAAGATGACTGATTACAAATAAGGAATGGGAGGAAGTCATAATCCTGAAACTTTTAGAAATTTAATGTTCCAGACACAATCGTGAAAGCGGGCTGAATATGCTATCAACCTATTAATGAGTTTCATATTTTTCTCTGATGGTTTATCATGCCAAGTGCCAACATGGTGAGCAGCTTGGTTGCTTTTTGATAAAAAAAATATTCCTGCCTGCATGCCATCGCAAACCCTGAGAATGGAAATAGGGCAAAAACCTAAAAGGGGGAAAAAAAAAATCTGTATACACCCCAAAAGATTTGTGTACACTGTAAATTTTTCCAAGTGTTTTAAAACATTTTACTTCATTTGATCTCCATATGAGTTGTATGAAATAGGCCAGATATAGTTATTCTCATTTTAGAGGGAAAAAAAGGTTCAAAGAAGCCAAGTGCCTAGGATGCTTTATTATGTAATTGAATGACGTATACCTGCCCCAAAGCCTGTAGATGATTTTGCAAGAATATCTGTCCATCACTGAGGATCATTTCATATTCTAAACAAATGATGGGAATAATTTTACCAGAACTGTACAGACTTCACATTTCCAAGTTTCTTAGACCTTTATACTTTGTTACCATTTAATACTTTTCTAAGAGCATTCCTGAGGTCTGTGTTTTGGGGATCTATCCTCACTGATAGCATCAACTGGCTATCTAAATCTCTGTTCTAGACGGGTTTAGCACATTCTTGGCACTCCAAAATTAAATAATATCAATCACCCTTCAGTTTTCGATACCTGAAAACCAGATAAACAAAGAGACCACAAGATTAGATTGAAAAAAAAAAAAGAAAATATTTAAAGCTGGGGTTTGTTAGTTTTAAGAAGCCAAATAAAACAAACTAAATAAAACTATAACTGAAGCCAGACTTAAGTATGGCTTCCAATATGATAAAGAAAACATGATGAGAATGAAGAAAAGTAAAATCTAGTATGGCTAGCTGAGTTTTCCAAACATGCCTAGATAAACCCATAGAGAAAAATCCAGGTCACACTCTGCTTGTTCTGATAGATCTTAGGATCTGAGTGGTAACAAGAACATCCAAGAGTTCCTTTATGCTTTCTCTGCTCTAGTTATTTTTCTTTCTGAAATTCCCTGATTCCTCTCAGAGCCCACACTGTTATTTATCTTTTGGCTTTTCTTTCTGAAATTTCCCGATTCCTCTCAGAGCACACACTGTTATTTACCTTTTGGCTTTTATTTCTGAGATATGTTTGTACCATCAATTTGGGGAAGAACAAATTTCAGTATTCTTTATGGAGCACAAAGTTCTCATAGGCAAATACTCCAAGTAACAAGTTACATTCCAAAGGCACTTTTCTTTATTAGCTACTTTGTTTCCAGAGCAGCATATAAATCAGGGGAAGGTATTCTAATGGGGATGGTGAGGTGCCATCATTTTTTTTTTTTAAAGTAACTGCTGTTAAAAAGAGACAGATACATTTTCCTTTTTAGAAAGCTTTGTTAAGTCAAGGTACCAGTCATAGGATCTGAGTAACAAATATTACATTCAAGCAGTCTTACAACTTGGTCCTCACTATGGGGCCTGGCTACAGATGCCTCAGAATTCAAAACTACTACTTAATCATAGGGATAAAAATACTGTTCCGTTTTTTTCCTCTTTAAGTTTCCTTTAAAGTTATATAACATAGCTCTTCTAATCAAGGAGGCACAGATCACTGATTAGGGGCTGAAATTTTTATTTGAAAATGTGAAAATAGCTGTGAATATTCCTTTTCCTTCTCCAAATGTGCTGTGTACAAAGGTATTACTGGGGGCTGGGAGGGAGAATCAATGTTGGCTTAATCTTCTCAAAAGGCAAGTTAATCACTATGGGCAAACAAAGGTGGCCCTTTGGCTGAAACATTAACAAAGAGTCAATGTTAACAACAGCATACATCAACTCTCTGTGTGACTACACCAATAACGTGTATCCATTACTGGAAAATGCAAAGCCGCTTAAATGCTAGGTTTACGGAGACAGCTAAAGTGGGACCGTGGACAGGGAGGCCTGGCGTGCTGCGATTCATGGGGTCACAAAGAGTCGGACATGACTGAGCGACTGAACTGAACTGAAAGTGGGACCTGAACTCATGCAGAAATATTCATAAATAAATAACATTTAAACAAAATCTGTTGGCTAAAAAAAGCAAAGCACAAACAGGACGAATTTCTTTCCAAGTCATTCCATAGCAATTCACATTACTACATACCTGATTCTGGATTTACCAAGTAACTTCCGTACACCCTCTTTAATAACTAGAAAATAGAAAAACAAGTATGTCATACAAATACATATCAACAAGTATGTTTATTCAAAAGAGAATTTCATTATTTTCAAAGCACCATGCATGCCAAGTTTTTCCTAAGCCAGCATTCTTCCTAACTTTCAAAAGGCGAATGGGAAATAGCATACAGGGAGGGAAGAAGATTTATCTGAGTTATCAAGCAAATCATTCACAGAACTTCGATTAACTCCAAAAGGTTAGCACTTGGTCACCCACCCCCTTTATATGGTCTGTTCTCCTCCAGATCTTATATTACACATAATTACCCTTTTTCTTTTTCCCCAAGAGAGGAGAAGGATGCTGAACTCAAGTGAGAATAGATCATATTAGTTATCAACCAAGTATAAGCCAAACCACTAACTCAGGTGAATGAAATGGTAAAAACCAGAACTGTCAGGAACTGATTCTGGTTAGCCTGCTTATCTTGAATGCTTTAAAATTATTTATTTACTACCAGCTTTTTTACAGGCAAAAAGCAATGGATAATTCAGTCTCAGCCAGTCATTTATACTGTGGGGGTCCATAGAAGGGTGGACTCTCTAAATGTTGTTTTCTCAAAACCAATCCTTACAGCTGGCTATTTTCCAGGTTTTTTGGAGTAAATGATAAAACAAGAATCCTTTTTACACCTTCTTATTTTTTCTCTGCCAGTGTGATTGCTCTTCCTGGCAGGAACCGCTCTGAGGATGGGACGGTTTAAGAATCAATCTTTTTATTTGGGAAGGAACAGTTCTGACTTAAATGTTATTGACACATTAAGCAGGAGAAAGGCAGTTATTTGGAGAGAGAAAAATTAAAGTCACTAGAATTCAATAACTTCTCGGTATTTAATAGTTTTTATTACGTTTTAGAGGCAAGACATAGGCAGGTCTTATTTCTGTCTCATTAAAATCTTGAACTTAGGGAGGGAAGGAGTCAGCATTATTCCACAGGAAGGCAGAATGGAGGCCAATATATGAATACTAACCCCCAGTCGTATAACAGGCTGTGGGATTTTGTCTCTATGCATCCAATTTTTAATGGTGTCACCACAAATATACTAACAACGATCCTCTTGCATTTTCTGGGATACCAAAAAAAAAAAAAAAGAGGTATTCGAATCTAAGTTCCCAAGTTAAAAGTGAACAAGAGGTGGGAAGGGGGTTCAGGATGGGGAACACATGTAAATCCATGGCTGATTCATGTCAATGTATGGCAAAAATCACTACAATACTGTAAAGTAATTAGCCTCCAACTAATAAAAATAAATGGGAAAAAAAAATAAAAGTGAACAAGAGCATAAACTTGCTTTAATTGTAATGGTGTGTGCTTCTCAGAGCCCATCTCCAGCATCTGGGGACTCATAGATAACAGAACTGAGCAAATGTCAATGCTTTTCTTCTAATCTTATTTTCAGTGTTCTCTCCAGGTTTTAAAAACGCATATGATATACAAAGCAGGAGCCATTATTTCATGTCCCATTTTCAAGAATTATCATATAGTACATTCTTTCTCCTCATTCTTAAATATTTTTTAGTACTCCACGTATTTATTTACCCGTTATCCTATAGCTGGAACAAAGTCTCAACATGCAAAACCTGGACAGTAGGGTGGACTTCGCAGCATGAATCAGTGACCACACTTGTTTATGTAAAGGCAAAAGGTAAGTAATGCCACACATAGTTCCTATTTGGTGACCATACACCCACTGTGAGGTATCTCTTACAGAAGAGGAACTAAAGGGAGAGGTTCAAGGTCATAGAATCTATTGGTGGCACAGAGATTTGACTTCAGGTGCCCCATATACCACTTCTCCTAAATCATTTCAGGGTGAAAAAAGTAGCACCCATGTCCCATTAGTAATTTTAACTATCCACAATTCTGTACTATGTGTACTTAGAGGAAGGGAAAATCAGATGTGGGAGAAACCACGGCTCCTAGTTTAGGTTCCAAGTTATTCAGTTAAAGCCCAAGATACTAAGTTAATATTCTGAGATCTAAGCAGTTTTTAGAACCAAAATTATACCACGTTCAACTCCTCTGCTCCCTCCTCTTGGCAAAACCAGCCAATGCTTCCTAATTCACTTCACTTGTACTTTTAAATGTGATTCACTTTGCACCCAATCTTACAACTTGACACCAGGAAATCAGACCTTCCCACCTGGCAGCTGAGGCTTTCTGCTTTGAAAAAAGGCCTGTGACAAAGTAACAAGCTTCCTGTGGTTATCACAGGCTGGTCACTGTTTAACCAACCCAGGGAGCCATTTACCCTGCACTCTGCTGCAATACAGCCAATGGTTACCTATTCCACCCACTTGAGTGGGTGAGGTTGGTTCTCTGACCCTTGTGGTAGCTACAAGAATAGCAATGTATTCTGGAGTTTCACTGTAAGGAAAGCAAACTGGAACAAAGATTTAAGAAATCTAGCTTAACACTTTCCCTCCCTCCCAAGGATTGTTTTTACTGCATCAAGATCTTTAAAGAGAGGGGAAGGTCTAGCGGGAATGATCGCACAGTTTTTCAGTCATCTGTTCAAATGTTCAACAGTTCTTTCTAGATAGTTGTCTTCTACTTCATCTAAAGCAGGGCCACCTTAACTGCCATTTATTTCCTCTTGATCTTCATCTGGTAAAGAGTTAGCCGGTCTCACATTAGTAATCTTTCAAATGCGTTAAAAGACTTAAGTCTTTCTCTGGAGGCTCTTTCTTTTCAGGTAAAATAACCCTGAATGCAAATTCTCTAAACCATTCTTCTTCTCTTGAACTTGAGGCAAAATCAGAGAAGGTTTTAGCTGTTCCTTCAAACTTCCAGGGCAGACCAATTGCATATGAAGAAGTAAGGGAAGTGACAGTGTATGGCTGTTGGTATCTGGCTTGGTTAACATTAATTTTAGTTTTTAGTATCGAGATTTTGATTGTATGCTTTTGTTAAACAGCTCTTTCATCACATAAATTTTAAACAAGTTAAAAGCTACTACTCTCAGTAGCATGGAAACATATACACTACTGTATATAAAATAGATAGCCAATGGGAATTTGCTGTATGATTCGGGGAACACAAAATGGGGCTCTGCAATAACGTAGAAAGGTGGGAAGGGGTGGGGGTGGGACGGAGGTTCAAGAGGGGACATATGTATACCTATGGCTGATTCATGCTGATGTATGGTAGAAACCAACACAATACTGTAAAACAATTATCATTCAATTAAAAATAAATAAAAAATATAACAAACTACTATTACTCTAATCAGAAAGAAAATAGAAATGGCTGTATCTTCATTTACCACATTAAGGAGAACCTACTCTGTTAAAACTAGAAGATACTTGAAAACTGATTCAGGAACTGAGTCATACTTCCTGCTTTGAGACCCAACCACAACGTGCACACACTGGTGTAATAACATTTTCTTTCTTCCATAAATGGCTCTCCCCAGAGCAAATAGAGTTCAACAGGAACCAAACCTACTGAAAGAAGTCAGTGAATAAAGCATGGCCGCCAAGAGTTTCTGAACACATGGACACCCTTTCTTATTTCCCCTAAGATAGTCATAAGGAAGAAGAGATACTTACAGAGGCCAGTTCTAAAGAGCATTAAATTTAAAAGTGTGAAGGGCAGATTTGTTCCTAAATTTCTAGAATGAGAAATTATGCCTGTAAACTGGAAACAGACCAAGGTTATATACCTGCTTCTCAATGTAACAGAAATAGAAATGAATCCATCTCAGTCTTGCCATAGCTATTTTTGTATTGGTCAAGGAAAAGTATCCTTTGCTACATTTTTTGAGAACTAAATCTGTTTTTGTCTTCACTGGTTAGAGAACATCTTTACTTCTTCAGTGTACAAAGCAGTCAAGCAGAGAACCAAAACCTTTTCTGAGAAACACCCTTCTTTATGACTAATGGAAATGAAGTCAAGAGCCCCTGGTTAGGTGAGCAAGCCACCCAGAGTGGCCAGTGCCAGTGTGGATGACTCAGTGCCGCGGATCTTCTAGGAATGGCAAATTGCCAGGAAAAGGTGAGGAGGAAATAAGACTCCCAAGAAAAAGTGATCTGCAACTTACCTCATCAGCACCATGTGCCTGAAGTTCCTTGTAGAATTTCAAAGAAATACTGACCATCACTTTTGTTTTGTCTCCATTAGGATTTGAAATATGATAGAGGACTCCATCAAAATCTGCCAGGAGAGGCAAATAATTTTGCTTAACTTGGGAATAGGGAATAACATCTCAAAGTGCCTGTCTACCTGTTGCAGGGCACAAGGAAATCTCTCTTACAAGTAGGCATGTAAGTAAAATGATGTTCATTTAAAATCCATGTGGAAAATCAGTAGAAACACTGAGATAAGAATTATCAAGAACTCATCTCTTTTCTCTAAAATTACAAAGCTATTTTTACTTTAATCATCACTTTGTGCTGAAAGAATTAAAAAAAAACAAGCAAACCTTTATTGTGATATATTTTAAACATGTATAAAAATATAACATACAACGAACCCCTATTCTCATCATGGCTTCAACAATTAATCAACATATGGCCAACCTTGTTTCACTTAGACACAGCCCTTGCCAATGATCTATTCTGAAGCAAATCTCACACATCATGTCAGTTCACCCATATTTCAGAATACATCTCTAAAAAAAAATAACCCCAATTCCACTGTCATCCCTAAATTAAAAAAAAAAAATTAAATATCCAGTCAAGCACTGAAATATTATCTCAAGAATTTTTAAAAAATATTGTTGTCTTATTTGAATTAGGATCCAAACAAGGCTCACACAGAGTGTTTGGCTAGCTCTTAAGTTCTTGTAATTCACAGGCCTCCCCTCTACACAGTTCTTGAAACCTGGGGCTGAGTGTCATTACTTCAGGCAGCTCTGGCACTGCCAGTTAGCAGGAGGGAAGGGGATGGTGCCTGGCCTCCAAGTCAGAGCCCTTCAGAGCTGCAACAAGTTTTCCAAGATGACCTGGTCAAGCATCCCCATTTTATTAATAAACAGCATGACCAACGCCTCAAAGTTCACAGAGCAAGTGAGTAGTGTCAATACCCAATTCTTTCTAGGGAAAAGAAAGCACTAACCTCTCTCTCTGACTTGTTGAACAAGTCTCGAGTATTTTTGTGAGTCCCTACTCCTCTAAGTGCTAGGTAAACTAAGATGATGGCTAAAGATACTAATATAATATTTCCAAATTTAAAAAACCTTAGTCTGTACCACAAAATTAAACCCAAACTTCTAAGATATCAGCAGGCAACTTTACATAGCTCACTAAATCCATCAATAATGATTGAAAATAAAAGCCAGAAAAAAAAATAAACCTGACAATCAAGATAGGAGCCCAAACATCAAAGTTTATTTTAGGAACAATTTTCTTTTCTATTTTTTATATTGTGCCTTCTCTTAATAGGCGAGATAAAGGATACTTACCTGCAAATGTTACTTCTACAGCTTCTGGTTTGTTTCTGCAAAATGAAATAAAAGTCCTTTAGTTAGCTAACTATATTGCTAGGACCTCCCTGGTGACCCAGTGGTTAAGACTCCGTGCTTCCAATGCAGGGGGCACAGGTTCAAACCTTGGTCAGGGAACTAAGATCCTGCGTGCTGTGCAACGTGGCCAACAAAAGGGTAATGACATTGCAGCTTGCCTTCAGGGAGACTTGCAAAAGGCTCCTGAGCTTTATTTAAGATCAGACAACCTTGATCCAGGTACACAATTTATTTTCTCACGCACCTGAACCTCTGTACTTACTAATGGTGAAAGACTGAAAAAAGGACAGATATATAAAGCTTGTTTTGCAGCTCGAGTCTCTGCTGTGGTTGGGGCTCACCTTCAATTCTTAACTCCTTAAGACCATGACAGACACATTTGTATATATGACTCACAAAATGCCCTCTTTTGTAAAATGAAAGGATGAGTTCAGACCACAAAATGATGCACAAAATGATCCTATTCCATTTCAAAGACAATCTGTAAGTCTTCCTACACTGTGTTTCCCTCTCCCTTACATCACCTAAGTACTCACCACTCTCCTTCATGAAGCCCTCTTTGGTTCTAGTTTTTTTTTTTTTTGCGGAGGGCGAGGGGGGGTGTGTTTTTAAACTTCAGTGTTGTACTTTCTTTTTTTTTTTTTTTCAGTGTTGTACTTTGATACAACGTGTAGCACAAAGTAACAGCAAAATAAGAGAGAACAGTCAAGACACCTGTTTTCCAACTTTAGCCTTTTCTTCAGGATCATGTTTTCAGACAAATTAATGCCTGCATTCCTTCATTTTCTCACCTACTCATCTTTAAAATGGGAGAACACAAATAATCCTACCTACTTCACACAACTGCTAAAGATAAAACAAGAGAACAGACATGGAAGAACTTATCCTGGGAGGCACTGATGGTCTACCACTTCCAATGTGATTCCCAGCTGAGCCTGGTACATGGACTTCTGTTTGATAAATGCTGCTGAGTTATTAACCCAGAAAGCATGACATATATCCAGTTAAAAACAATAATGGTCAATTAACCTCCAGTGAAAAGCTACTTCAAATGCTTTCCTCACTTCTCCTCAAAACCCAATGGTAGGAAACCAATGAAGACTCCATAGTTTTATTAGCTAACACCCTATAACTCAAATGATTCCACTGTGTTTTACGGGCCAGCAGACAAGATATACACACTTTCACATTTATTCTTGCCTAACTTGCTCAAGACCTCACCATCAAATGTGTATCTCTTTTACTATCTCCGCTCCCTCATCTGCAGAAGGAACTAAGACTGAGCTGCCCTTCAGAGTTGCTGGGAAATAACAGAATAAATAACATGGTTTATGACTGTTAAAACGCTGCTGCAAAGCTAAACCATACCTCTCAAGGAAACTGGCTTCTATTAAACATATGTTAGCCCCGTTGTAAAATCAACCTATACAAATCACACATCAAGTTCCACTCTGCTTCTTCAAAGCCATCCATATGTGACTTAGGAAAAAGTACTTTGGGTGAGAAGCATCAAGTGGGTTTATGGACAAGCAGTGAGTTCAGGATGTGATGAAAAGAACTAGATTCAGGATATGATGAAAAGAACTGGATAAAAATTAAAGGTTGTTTCTGATCTTTCATTTGAAACTGTAGCCTGGTGACTAAGGCGATGAATGACCAACCACCATTTCTCACTTCTAGAAAAAACAAGAGCAAAGGAAGAAGTAGAAACATTAATCTATGGCCCATTTGAATGAAACATTAAGAGGCTGCACAACGGGAGGAAGCCACTGAAACACATTCTCCTGAAGAAGGCTGGCTGTGCCTAAGAGGCAGGGTGGAGGCTTATAAAAGCCCATGTTGTATCACTTAGTAGGAGGCTGGTTTGTTTTTTTTTTTAACCTTTAAGCTTTAAGTCAGCCACAGGACTCAGTTCCTCACTTTCTCACTTCATCAACTGACCAAGAAAAGATCAACTATAGATAAAAAACCTTAAGGGTTCCAACATTTTGACTCTTGAAATTTTGAATTTCTCTAGGTCATAAAGTTCCCTGAGCACTGATCCCCACTGGGAGAAGTCGCTAAGATCTATACTAAGTGGTTTGCTGCCTGACTTGGGAATATTTGTCAAATCATTGCCATTAATATTTTAGTTTGCTATTTATGGCTGCATAGAGGTTGCAGAGGAGAGAGGCAGGCTGCTGAGGAGAGCACTGGGCTGAAGGCGTCCTCCTGAGAAGTCACCTGGGGGTTAGACTTCTGTCTAACTCTGTCCCTAACAAGGGGACTGCACTCGGTGGGAAATATACCATGACAGGGCTATGGCTCAAGTCCAAGACCAAGTGCTTTGTGGTTTAAAAATCACGGAGCTACTGGGGAATAAAGGCTTCCCTGGTGGCTCAGCTGGTAAAGAGTCTGCTTGCAAGGCAGGAGACCACATGTAGCACAGGATTCCTGGGTCCGGAAGATCCCCTCAAGTAGGAAATGGCAACTCACTCCAGTGTTCTTGCCTGGAAAATCCCATGGACAGAAGAGCCTGTACGTTACAGTCCGTGGAATCGCAAGAGTCAGACATGACTTAGCGACTAAACCACAAGCAACCACAGACAGGAATAAGATTGGTCTGGGAGCAAGTGTACTCTTAACTGGCCAAAAGAATGTTAGCCGCTCAGTCATGTCTGACTCTTTGGGACCCCATGGACTGTAGCCCACCAGACTCCTATGTCTATGGAATTCTCAAGGCAAGAATACTGGAGTGGGTTGCCATGCCTTCTCCAGGCGATCTTCCCAGCCCAGGCATCGAATCCAGGTCTCCTGCATTGGAGGCAGATTCTTTACCATCTGAGCTACCACAGAAGCCCCTAGGCCAAAAGGGCAAATAGTTATTTTCTGTTTGACTGTGTGTGCTAAAGTTTCAGGCGGTGAGAGTAACTTTAATCACAGAAAAAGCTCTTTCAGAGCTGACTCTTCACCTCAAGTTCTGTCGCTTACTGTAGCCACAGCAATGATACTCATGAGCAAGCCAAAGGTTCCTCTTCTAGAAAATGGAGATTAAAAGCCTCTACCACAATGGCAACCCACTCCAGTACTCCTGCCTGGAAAATTCCATGGACAGAGGAGCTTTGTAGGCTGCAGTCCATGGGGTTGCAAAGAGTTGGACATGACTTCACTTCACCACACAAAGCTGCTGTGAGGACTAACTGAGAAGTTGCCTGGACGGCAAAGTTTCCCAACAAAGGTCTTATGACTCAGCTACAGATATGCTGAGATAATGATCCCATGGCCCTCAGGGCAGCCCAGTGGTAGGATCTCCAGGCTAGACCATTTACCCAGATGTGACATACCATAACAAGGTCAGCAAATCACCAGGGAAGGGTGCCTACACAATGCTGAATCCATCTACTCCCTCAGCCAACTCCCAAGAGCCCCAGTTTTGTCAATTGTAAATCAGAGCTGCTATCTGTAACCCAGACACATTCTGAAATGGAAGGAAACCATGTCAAACAATCAGGAATTGGTCAGCAAAACAAGGAGAAACAGAACCATATTAGTGTCAGTCTGCTGCAGTGTCTGCAATCCTAGAGTAAGCCAGGTGGCTAAGTCCTCAGGGTTACTGACAGGACAGCACAAGACACTAAAACATACTCAATTCATTCAGATGGGTTTCAAGAGCCATTCTTAAATTCCTTTAGAAAAAATTTCTTCCTCTCCTTTTTCTAAAATGTCACTAAAGAACTCCTGGCAACTGTTATTATCCAATCCTCTTTCCTCATTAAGGATTTTGGAATTTTTACTCCTGAACACATCCAGTTCCTTGTTGTGCATTTATGTCCCTCTTCTAGTTACTGTTTCTATGAGCTGAATTAGAGGAATTATTGAATACTGCTCATTATCTTATCATAAAGTTTTTGATTAATCTCCTTTAAGTCCTCTCTAAGGCTCCCATCATCCTTTTTGAGCAAAGCCTATAAAAATGGATATTAGGTAAGAGGTGGTCCTACTCTCTTAAGGTACATCTCAAAATAACGAAGAGGGTCTAAAAGCTGAATCACACAATGTCAGAAGAAGGATAAACTCCTAAAGAAACTGAGAACCATTCTATCTAGCTTCATCAAACATGTACTAAGCTGACTATACACACAGTAAGAATTCTGGGGAAACAAAGATGAAAGAACCATAGACCCTGCCACTAACAGAGTTGCAGGTTTCGTACACACAAAAGGAACACAGTTCTGGGGCCTTATGCCCAAAGTAGCTCCGAGGCAGCCAGAGAGTGGGCAGTAGTGTGTGACTACAGTGACCAGTAAAAAGACCAACCAGATCATCTCAGCAAGTCAGCTGCTACATCCAGTTTCTTCTAAATGCTTAAACAATGTCCTAATTCCAAACCACTCCACAGCGGTCTGTCTCCCTGAGGACACAGGCAGCATATTTGGGAATGAGAAGGTATCAGCAAGATTTAATTTATTCCTCGCTCAAATTTCTCCTCCCACAGTCCTCGCCCACCCCAACTGGCATGGCTTGCTTACTGAGCTTCACTCCTACTCACAGAAGTACAGCGCCCCACAATATGCACAGCTGTGGCAAGAAGCCAGCATGCACTTAAAATCAACAGCAATTCGCATCTGACAGCATTTCCTCAATTTTGCACTCCAGACTAGAGTGAGGTTGACAAGCCTAGCTTTGGAGGCTATAAAGGCTCTTGGTGTGTATACAGTAACAAAAGAATTAAATTAATTTGCCAGAATACTTCTTTAATTGGGAGCCTAAGTAAGAATTCCTAAATGGTTGGGAAAAAAAAAACAACCAAAAAACTGTCGACAAGACCTGCACATGAGGTTATCTGCAGTGTTGTGCACAGCTTCTTAATCACAGACAGTCTCTCAGTGTCACAGTCTCAGTAGAGGCTGTTGAGAAGACAATTTACCAATAATTATCATTTTGTGGGGATACAGGAATCATCTCAATAAGCCACCTTTCCAAGAGTGTGGTGGGAAAAAAAAGAGTAATTTGCCTGGAATGGCTCTCAGGCTTTGTCAAAACTGCCTCCAAGTTAAAAGGTTTTCATGACCAAATATATTCTTAAAGAATTTATGACAGAACTGCTTTACTCGAAGGAAATTTAGACATTTAGAAGGACGTCACAGGCAAGAAGATCCAGCAAGATAATCTGAGAGGCATCATTTTTTTTCTTTCTTGTTTCACACTGTACAACCCCCTTCAGTGCTCGCAGCCCACAAGTAAGGAGGCTGGGCAATGGTTCGAGGCTGCAATTTACTCTGGCATGGGTACACTATGAGAGGCCCACAGAGGAGGACCTGCCATAAATCCATTACCATGCTCCGAGAGGTATCACTTAAAATAAGATCAACTTCAAAAGGAAAATAACTTGTGTTCTGAAATGTATACCGCAGAACTATTTTTAAGACTACCTCATAAAAAAAAAAAAAAAAAAAAAAGACTACCTCATGCTCACGTTTTCAGTAGCTGCAACAGGGCTGTCCAAGGGGACTTCCTGCAATAATGGGAATGTCCTACATCTAGCTGCCCACATTTGGCTGCTTCTAGCCACGTGTGGCAACTGAGCTCCAAACTGTGGCTAGTGTGACTGAGCTTTAATTCACTTTTAATTTTTATTTCAACCTGACTAACCATATGTAGCTACTGGCTATCACCAGGCATCGTGGAGCTGGAGGATTCATTCTGGGAAAGGCTGAGTAGAACCTCATTTCCCCAACTGGGAAAAGCAGGGCGGAGTGGACCTCTCCCAGCAGGTTCCCACAATGGCCAAGCCTTTCCAATCTCCAAGGTTTCTCCTCAGAGCTACTGCCTTTCTTTAATCTTTCTCTGATCTCCACCCCAAAATGTGTTCCCCCTTAGGTCCTCTGTAACTCTGCCATACTCTTAGAAAGGTCCCCCTTTCCTGTTCCTGTTTGGGGCTGAGCACTGAGAGAACCCTGTAAATGTTCATGATTATTTAGTTATTATGTAATAATACTAGTTATTATTCTCTAAAAGTTCTGGCTAGGCATGCACCTTGATAAATAGTTAACTACTTGATAAATACTTAAATACTTTACTGCTGCCTCACCTTACTAGTATGCCTAGAAACTTCTAGGCTTCTAGGTGTTACATTTGCAATCCCAGGAAAACCCTACCTGTTAGGCTGAATATCACAGTCTTTTTTCAAAGTGATTTTCAGCAGAGTATGTTCTGAGTCCACTTACTTAAAGTCACATCTCAACTGGAAGACAGGCCAGAAAAAAACCAAAAATGGCTGCCATGCCCTAAGATTTAACACTGTTACAACATATACTTTGTAAAAAAAAATGTCCAGAAGTTCCAAATTATGGGTTCCAGACTTGTGTGACTACTTACTCCCAGCTGAAATAGTTAGTAGCTCTTTTTAAGAGTAATGTTCTAAAAAGAAAAGAGCTGAAGCTATGAATAATGGGCTACATTTCAGAGTCACAAGTTATTAATAAACAAGCAGATGTGAACGTACTCCTACACTACAAGGCATGCTTCTACTTGAAATGCACAGGCATTTATCTTGTAGATCAGCTTATAACCACCCATGTCTCATTTTTCGCTAGTCTAAACTTGAGAATTCACTTGAGATCAGCTGTGAAAATGCAGAAGTTATTTTAACTTCCTCCTATGTGCTACACTGCTCAAAAAAGTACACAGCAATCACCCAAAATAAGCCACTAAGCTGACTGGCTTGAACATTTAAAATGCAAAGGAACTGGTAAGTGAGGCCAAAGAAGCAAGTTCAGCCTAAAATATAAGCAACTGCAGCCCCTGGCAGGAAACAGTCACTACTGATCACTGTGTTACTTCAAGGAAAGCTGTGCTTTGTTCTACAGATAAAACCTGTGGCCTTACAACAGAGATAGGAGACAATATATTCAATTTAAGAGGCAGGTAGTAAGTATTTTTTAAAAATGCCTCCAAGCCACAAGTTCATTATGTCCACTTAGAAATTCCTTCCACCAATCCTCTCCCATCGGTGGCTCTCCAAGCACTTACTCTATTCTCAGTTGCCAGTTCACCAGAAACGGTTTGCACTATTTCCTCAACTGTGTAACCAAGATGTGAAGTCCCATCCTCACACATGGGGAAATGAGGCCAAGGGACTGGCCACAAGCCATCAAAAATTAGAAGTTAAAACCGATTCTTTGGTTCATGTATTAAATATTATATTAGAAAAGCAAAGCAGCTTTGGGGAGGAGGTCGTCTTCTACTGATTCTTGCGTGTGACGGCGAAGGTTGCCTTAGAAACATGTCCTAAAGCCCACTTTTAACAAGGCCAATGGTTGACAAACAGGTCTTATCTGAGAACTTTATTATAGACTCTGGAGGCTTTCAAGTGTGTATCTGGGCCGCAATGACTACAGAAGAAATCACAGACCAAGGGGTACGGTACAAAGATTTGAAAGATAACCAGATAGAGGACAGTGGGTGGGGAAAAAAGAATCAGGACCTCAGAAGAGCGGTAAGAAAGGCGTGTGGATATTGGGGGGACTATTGGCTCGAAGAATGTAACAAAATGACCCGTCTCTCTCACAGTAGGGTTCGGGGAAGTAAAACTAGAGAAATCAACGGGTTTTCCGGCTGCAAGGCAGGGCTTGCCTCAGTCTTCTCTCCCGCTCCTTTAGATGAGAAGATGGGGGTGGGGAGCGAGAAGATGGGTGGTGAATCTGGGCCTGCCACCTTCTTTCCTCCTCCAGTGCTGGGAATTCCTGAAAACTCCTTCCAACCGGATCCCAAATGGGCTCTCTCTGGGTTCTGAACAATGACGGGGAATACAGAGGGAAGTGGTCCCCAGCTCGTTCCAGAGGGGAATGGGATCCTCCAGCGGAGAGTTCCGGCCCAAGCTCCCCTCACGTCCCACAGGTCTCCTGCCCTTTGGCACGCGCACTCCTGTCCACTCACTGCTTCCGCATCCCTCCTCTGAGCCTCTCCCCACGCATCTCTGCCCCTCACCCCACCGCGCCCAATCACCTCCCACGTCTGACCCCGCCGGGGCAGTCCCCACACCCGGCCAGGTCGCTCACCTCCCTCCTCTGGGTCTGGAGGACTGAACGATCATCAGGGGTCAACTCTGCCTCCCCCGCCACCCACCGGCCCCTGGCGCGCGCTCACCCGGCGGCCGCGTTCTCGAACTTGAGCGCGAGCGTCTCCTCGATGATGCGGTTGTTCACCTCCAGCAGGATCATGGCGGCGGCTGCCCCGGACAGGGGAAGGAGAAACAAGGGCGGGTGAGGGTGGGTAAGGGAGGAAAGGACAGAGGGAGCGGCCCTGCTGCCCCTTGAGGAGGGGGGCTGGGTGGGGTAGGAGGTTAGGGGAGAAGGGGAAAGGGACCGGGGTGGGAGAAGGGGAAAATCTGCGCGCTGGCCCGCGCACGCACTGACTGTGGAGACACCCACCCACCCGACCGACCTGGCCCCTGAAGCCTGAACCCGCCTGCCGAGCCGCCGCCGCCGCCGCTGCCGCCTCACCGACAAGCCTGGTCCCCCCCCAGCCCCCGGCTCTAGCCGGCCACTTCCGCTCTCACACCCACTTCCGCTCCCCGCCCGGACGCGCGGCCCCGCGGCGCCATTTCCGCTCCGATCCCTCATGCACGCGCACGCAATCGCGCCGGGCAGGGGGCAGGGTGGAGGAGTGGGGCGGGGTGGAGGAGTGGGGCGGGGTGGGGAGGAGTGGGGCGGGGTGGGGAGGAGCGGGGCGGAATGGGGCGGGGGGGGGCGCGTTGCCGCGCTTGCGCACGCGCGATGCTGGTAGTCCCAACTCCTTCCTCTTCGTTAGTAACCCTGCAGTCCTCCTCTCGGCCTGCTGCCGTTCCCCGAGGTCCACCAGGCAGTCCGGTCTCGTACTCCCCAAATGTTTACCTCCACTCTTCCGGTCTTGTAATTTCAGAGACCCTGCAAGAAGCTCGCTCTTGTCATCTCCCAGCCAGCTTCTTTGCTCTCCGCTTGTCAGTGACCCTTCCTCGTGCCACACCAATGGCTGTCCAGCGGCACCGTCGCTCATTCATTTCACCAAATGTGTAGTGGGCTCCTGCCCTGCGCTGGAGATACGGTGAAACACACGAGGTCCCGCCCTCGAGGAGCTTATAGTCTGGTGAAGGAAACGGACCAATTCTCAGTTTAGCTAACTACGGATTGTTAACAAGGTCAAGGAAGGAGAGGAATGAGAAGTCACCGAAGTGAATAAGCCTGCCTGGATTCCTGTCATGCCTCCATTTCTGTGCCTAGAGTTTCCTTCCAGGTGCCCCGAACGTGATTTTTCTCTGCCTTTGAAACCCTTTCATTCCAGTACCTCTGCCAGAGACATACATTAACTTATCTGCATGTGGAAATGAACTCATTTTTGTGCTGCGGCTGTCTTATGTCTGTGCGCCTTGTTTTGTCTTTTTCTCCATGGAGAATCGAACAAATGTAGTTGAGTTCTCTTTACATGTATTGATTTACTTTCTGCTACGTGCTCTTGGTAAAGGGAGGGATGGGGAATGCAAAAATGAACAAATAACTAGCCCTTGTCATCAAGGCGCAGACAGCCCTTCAAAATGGATTTCTTTGCTTACCGACCATGGATAAACTTTCATTTGAAACTACTCCCAAATTATATGCTAATGTTTTAGCATTGTTTATTGAACTAAAATGCAGATACATAGCTGTAAAATACATACATATACTAGAAGGCTTGTAATGAAAAAAGTTGTTCCCTGGCCTACTCTTTAGAGGCAATAGTCTCGACTCTATTACATATTCATCCAGATTAGATCCATATATCTAAATAAATCCATATACTACTAATTCTTGATTTGTTCATTTTAAGGGTTATTTGTTGACTTCCTGCCATGACAGTTAAGAACATGAGTCTATCTCTTCTGTTCTCCACCTCCCATATTTATGTAAAAATTTCAGTTAAACCAATAATCAGCATTTAAATTATGTATGCAAATACTATTTACCAATGACCCAATGTATACTACAACTGTGCCTTATAATTTATACAGCCCTTCATTTTTCTTAGAGTTAATTATTGCCTTTTCCCCCTTGCTTGTTAGTTTTTTGTATTACCTACAGTTGGCTGCCCCCACCCCTGAAAGTGCTCTTAAGACTCTGTCCAAAAGTCTGGCAGTATTTTCTGTATACTCAAATGCATGAGTTCTATTTTTTCTCTGGAATCTTTGTCCCAGAGTCTCCTTCCTCTTGTTTCGATCGGAACTGGCTGCTCTCTAGACTTGCTGTCCAGTTGTCATTCTGGGATTTTCCTGGGCTGGTTTTGCCCATTTCACAGATCCCATTCCTTCCTCTTAGTTTACTTCCTTGTTTTGCTGAAGCACCGACTCTGGTTACTTCGAAAGGAAAAGGCATGGGGGATATATTGGAATCTTTGCATATTTTAAAATCTATCTTAATACTTGATTTGTAGTTGAATTTATAGTTGGGCTGGATATTGAATTTAAGTTTTGAAAATAATTTCCTGTCATAATTTTTAGGGTATTATTCATTTTCTTCTACCTTCCAGGTTGCTATTGTGAAAAGCCTGATTCCTATTCATATTCCTGATCCTTTGTATGTTACATCTTCTCTGCCTCTGGAGGCTTTAGAATTTTCTCTTTAGTCTGTGGGTTGGAAATTTTATAATGATTTGCTTTGCTGTGACTTAATTTTTTTGAACTGAGCACTTATTCAAAATGGAAGCTCATGTACTTTAGCTTTGGAGGCAATTTTCTTTATTTCCTTGATAATTTCTTCTCCTCCATTTTCCTTGTTCACTTTCTGGAATGCCTGTTATTTAAAAGTTAGATTTCTGGACTGATATTTTCATTTTTTTTCTTCTGTTTTCTTGTTGCTTTGGGTTGGTGTGTTTTATTTTTATTTTCAATTGTAAATATACATAATGTGAAATTTCTCATCTTAAGCATTTTTAAGTGTACAGTTCAGTCAGTTAAATCATTTATTGGGATTTTAATGCAACAGTCTCAAAACTCTTCATTTTGCAAAGTTGAAACTCTGTACCCATTGTTTGTTTGTTTTTCTTGTTCTGTTTTTCTGAGATATTTCCTTGTCATTATCTTCAACCATTTTAAGTTTCAGGTTTTTTTTATTTTTAATTCCCAAGATGTTTTTCTCCCAACTCCCCTTCCCATATTATTTTATCCTTCTTCTCTTTTATATATTTATTTATTTGACTGATCTGGATCTTAATTGCAGCATGTGGAATGCAGTTCCCTGACTGGGGGATGAACCTGGGCCCTGACTAGGGAATGAAACTGGGAGTCACCAAACCACTGGGAAAGTTCCTGTCAAACATTTATTTGACAGGAGTATCTTCTATCTTTCTGAGGATATTGTATGTTTTATGGACACTAATATCTTCTCTCTAAGGATACTGTAGTGTGTTTCTTTTTAGTTTTTCTTCTCTTTGCTTTGATCTATTTCTTTGTTGTTGTTTTTATTTTTGCCTGTTTATTTTTGTTTAGTCTCATTTATGTTAATGGCCATCCTCAAAAGTCTGATTTCTTTAGCAGCCTGTTCCTATTTAGGGATGAGATTCCAAAAAGCTGAGTGGAGGCTGAGTGTGTGGGCAAGAAGCGTTGACAAGCACGTTACTTCTCAAAAGGGACTAGCAGCGTTGGCTTCCTTTGGAAGCTTTTTGGAAATACAGACTCTCTGGTCCCACCGTAAACTACAGATTTAGAATATGCACTTTAACAAGATTGCTACGTGGCTCAAATGCACCTTATGTTGTGAGAAGCACTGGATGAGTGGGCTTATTATGAGGTGTACCGGTGGTATGCTGGGCTTCCCTGGGAGCTCAGCTGGTAAAGAATCTACCTGCAATGTGGGAGACCTGGTTCGATCCCTGGGTTGGGAAGATCTCCTGGAGGAGGGCTTGGGAACCCACTCCAGTATTTTTGCCTGAAAAATCCCATGGACAGAGGAGTCCGGTTGGCTACAGTCCACGGGGTCGCAAAGAGTTGGACACGACTGAGTGACTAAGCACTGCATTGATGTGCCAGATTTCTTAGAGGACCCACAAATGTCAGTATTGGGAGGTCTTCTCTCCAGAGAAGCATCCTCTAGTTTCTTGGGACTTATAAACTTGGCTATGAGTGTTCCCAGAGTCTTAAGAATGCATTCTAAGTTCCAAGCCACTTCCACTTAATCCCATTGTAAGCCCTGTGCCTCCCCACTGCCTTCCCTAGGGCTAGAGTGTATAGAAAATGAATTTCTGTTGGTAAAGATGGAGGATGGGTGGAAATGGGATGGGTCAGATGGAAACAGAGGTAATCACTTGACTGTTTGGGAACCTAGAATGCCAAATGCTTTTTATGACACAGATTTTTCAACCAATTTTTCCATTTTCTTCATCTGGCTTTTGGTTTATTTACACTTATGACTAATTGAACAAACATCTTTGTCCCACCACCCAGCTTTCTGGAATCTTAACGTTTTATAATTAAACTTGCATGAGTGCTTTTTTTAATAGAAGAAATACAGTTGAAACTTTCTGTGAAGCCCACCCAACTCTATTCCCTTTTCTCCTTCTTCCTCCTCCTCCTCAAAGGTACCCATCACCTTGCATTTGGTGTTTATTCTTCCCATGGCATGTTTTTACACTTTTATTACATATGCATGTATCCATAAACAATGTGTAGCAAATTTGCATGATTTTAAACTTTTTGTTATTAGTATTACATATGCATGTATCCATAAACAATGTGTAGCAAATTTACATGATTTTAACTTTTTGTTATTAGTTATTAATATCATAAATATACCCTTTTGAAACTTGTTTCTTTTAGTCAGCAATATATTTTTGAGATTTACCCATGTTGTTACATGAAGCTGTTTTAATTGTGATGTAGCATTCCAGTGCTGAAGATGAAGCTCCAGTACTTTGGCCACCTGATGGGAAGAGCTGACTCATTGGAAAAGGCTCTGGTGCTGGGCAAGATTGAAAGCAAAAGGAGAAGAGTGAGGCAGAGGATGAGATGGTTAGCACCACTGATTCAATGAACTTGAATTTGAGCAAACTCCAGGAAATAGTGAAGGACAGCAAAACCTGGCATGCTGCAGTCCATGGGATCATAAAGAGTCAGACACAACTTAGCAACTGAACAACAACAGCAGCATTCCAGTATATGATTATATGTTATGATCACCAGGGTATTTATCTACTCTCCTGTAGAAGAAGGACACTA